CAGAAACTCGCCCGACAATAGTGACACCACAGCGCCCGCAGAAGAAGCAACGCAGAGCACAAAGTGATTTGGAGCAGGCGAGGGACAACGCCGGCCCCGTGCCGTGGCCTCTGATGTTTGTCACACCAGAGCGCCGCACTCGTGGTGGCCCATCCACACCACTGGGCGCTGGATTCTCTCCACCCAGGGTGTCCGCTCGTTCGACCCACGATGGCGACAAGCCCGCAGCGGAAGTGCAGAAACGCTGCCCTGGAGCCACAACGACGACGAGTGAGAGCTCTGATGTCGCGAGCTGATGCATTATCTAGTGTGTCACAGGTCGGAGCAGCTCCAGTGCTGTCCCGAAGTGTTCCCAGAACATGTTCCCTTTGCTGACATGCAGACTGCAAGCCAGCAGTGATGATGCGGTATCGTGAGGGGGTTTGAGAAAAATCAGTTTTTCTGTGCCTTAGCCTACAGTACTGCATGTGCTATGACGTTTGCGTGCAGTCAGTGTAGTTTCGCTGGCAACACAAGAAATAGAGCCCAGGTCATGCCCAAGCTGGTGGCGGAGACGCTGGACGGGACCAGCGTCATGAGGCCGGGGTATCACACCGGATGTATAATTGCAGCTGTGCTGTCACTGAAGCACGATGACAGGCCGAATGTCAGCAACAAAGAGGCGAACTCTTTTTTCGCACGCTTCTCAGAGTGGAACAATGAAGGACCCAGCAGTTGTGACACTGACACGTCGAGTTGCTCAACATGTCAGCTTGTTTTGAGAAGCCTCTGGACGTCACCACATGACGTGTGGCTCAGGCGGTGGTGAAGGCCTTGAACCACGTTTTCGTGACCATGGTTCAGAAGGACCTGACTTGGTTCATTCCGAAATGGGCGGCCGATGGGCGCCAGCAGTTCAGAGGTAGCAAGATGTTTGCCATCGAGTTGCCCCCGGTTGACGAGACACCGTTACTACGCACAGTTCCGTGGATGTTATTCAGTAGTGATGCACGTTCCAAACAGCCTAACCATATCGTGTGAAGCATGCTTGCAGGTATCCGACGAGGAGTCATCACAGACAAAGGCCTTCCACTTTCTCTTTTCGCATGTGGGGTGCAGAGGGCTGACGCAGCCGGAAATCTCGCATCCAAAATGGAACTCCTTCAAGAGGGCAGCGGCCAGCAGCAATCTGGAGTTTGACCTGCTTCGCTTGACGGTGTGTGCGAACTACGCTCATGGCCCGTGGACCAATGGGGACCGGTTGGTGCTCAAGCAGCAGGCACTGGAAAGCTTCCTTGACAAGCAATCTGAAGATTGGTTCAGCGACATGGCAGAAGAGATTGCGCGAGATGCTGGAGAATCTGAGCTGTTGTCGGAAGAGCAGGCACGAGCCTCGATGTCAGATTTCCTCGACTCCGAGGCAATCCGCAACCGAGGCGCCTTCGTCAAGGCCAAGTCGTGGTTCGGGATTATCGCTGCGCTTCGAAGCTTGGTGAAACACTGGACAATCCAGCGGGAAGCTTCGACAGCGATCATGGTGGAGACGGGCGGAGCTTCCGAAGATGCCAAGAATGAAGACGACGGCGAGGAGGCGGAGGCGGACGGCACCGATGCTGCCCGCGACCCTCAACCACCGAAGAAGTGGACCAAGGCGGAGCTCTACCGTGCGTACAGTGGTCGTGGGCCGCATGCGATGAATGCGGATTTCTTGAATGACCCGGAACTGCGCAGCAAAGCTGTGCTGATCATCCATGTGACAGCCCCGCTGTTTCTCGCTTTGCAACTAATAATTTGCGCTGTTGGGGGGGGGGGACAGGGTGTGCGTCAATCCTTAGTTCGGATTTTCGGATAATCTCTGAAGTTCTGGGCTTTCGGTTGGCGGGAGACGGAGAGAAGTAGGAGAAAGGGAAGCATGATTTTCCTGGTCCTGGTGATGTAGTCATTGGGGGCGAGTTCAGTTCATCTAGAAGTACTGTTATTCGGGGGCGGGGGCTTTTCCGTGAGGTTAATTCATTTGATTTCTTGTGTCATTGCTAAGTAAGGCACGCAGCGTACGCGGAGGACTTGGCCGCGCAACAAGGTGAGCCGGAACAACAGATTGAGTGGATCGCCGGACGTGCGTCAGGAGATGGTATGGATGTGGTGATGAGCATCCTGCACACTGTGGCGTCGCCGCAGCTCTGTCGTGACATGCGGTTAGCTCCTCCTTGCAACCCGCCGCTGGATGCTGACAACACCTACCTGACCGATGATGTCAGGCTGCTCCAAACGGCATTCGACTATGCTGCGAATTTGGCCTCAAATGTGCTATGGGGCCAGCTTCTTTACCACCACACTTTGCCCTTGGCGGGTGCATCACTCTTGGCAGCAGACGAGGCAAGCATATTTTTTTCATGTTGAATAATTAATAACGATAATGCTAGGTGTTGTTGAAGTTGATGTGTTGTGCCGGAGAGTCCATACCCCCCCCCGGCCCCCGGGCAGCACCCGGAGCACCAAGCAGGATCAACGCAGGCGGGCCATGAAGCATTTGAAGAAGCTAGTTTCGGTTGTGGTGGAGGCAGAAGACATTGTCGCAAAGGGACCTTCGCCATTGGCAGAAGTTCTGCAAACATTGGCGTGGCCAGACGAGACGCTGGCCAGAGAACTTATGGTTCGACTTCACAGGTCAGAGTACAGTGCTGAAACTGAGGAAGGGTTTGAGCTGCGACGGCTGTTGCTGCGTACCTTCCTGGGCAGCAGCAGCACGAAGGAAGTGCTCGAGAGCACTTTTGCCCATCTGCATGACATCTCAGCCAGGCACGCAAAGAACGCCAAGATGTGTATGCGTGGGGTTTGGTTTTACTCCGTGGCGTCACCGTACACCACTCAGGCGACGTGTGGCATGGCACAGCACAAACCAGCTCATGCTGAATGGGTGAAGTGGCGTGGTTTCTATGGGAATGCCAGGGACCGCTTCATGAAGCGGTTCAACAGCGCCTTGAGTGTGAACTCCACAGCGCTGCCGCGCGGACGTGAACTCCCCATCAGTCCGGGTGGTGTGAAAAAAACAAAGTGGCGCATGGCAGGGCCACTCAGCCATTACCGCAGCTCCTCAGCCATGTTGTACCTGATGGAGGATTCTGACAACAACTTTGTCAACTGCCATCAGGCGTGGGCCGGCGCATTTCTGAGATGCGGGCAGTTCTATTGGCACAAGGACACGTTGACTGAAGTATAGTGCTTTCGGTATAATGTCCCTAGTTTTTTTTCGTGATAGAGATGTTTGAACCAGATGCAAGAGATTAGTGCAGTGTGGCAATTGCAGGATAACGACTCCTTCATGCTGTGCTTGGGCTTCAATGGCTGGTGCGCCATTGGGGTCGAGATCTTGCAAGAGGAGGTGAATGGCCGTGATTTCTTGACCCTGAACCGTCGGCACTTGAAGGGTCCGGTGCGTGTGATGTTCAACTTCGACTGTGCAGAGGACAGCTGTTGTTGGGCTCATGTTGCCGTGCAAGTGTTACCCCCTGCGTCTTTGCCTCCAGAACTGGTTGACTGTGGAATGGCCTTCGAAATCCAAGACCGAAACGGCTGGATCTTGCGGGATGCCCTCGCCAGTGGGATGCAGCTGACCGTGGAGAGACTGCGGTCGGCGTGCCAAGCCATCGGCGCTGACCTTCCTGTCAAAGGCACTGGGTCCGGTAAGAATGGAAACATCATCAAAGTTGATTGGGTTTCCTGCTTGGTCGCCGCGGTCTTTGGAGACTCAACTGAAAAGGAACGATCAGCCATCGAGGACCAAATCATGGGCAGGCAGCAGAAACCTGTTGATGTGGGGGTTCTAGCAGCTATCTCCGAGCTCGATTCCGACAATGCGCAGGCGTTCAAGGACATCAAGAAGCGTGCTCAGGAGATGTTCGAGGATGCCGTGTACGGACACGGTGTCAAGCAAGGCTTGCGCCGCATGTTGGATGACGAGCCGAATGAGGAAAAGCGCAAGGAGAATTTCCACAAGGCAGCGGAGAATGCCGACAAGAAGCAGGCTTTGAAGGCTGAAGAGGATCGCAAGCATGCTGAGCGACAGTTTCAGTTGACGCCGCCAGACTTGAAGAGCCTCCTTCCAGGAGGTGGTGAAGTGGCTGGAGTTTGCTGGGCGCGGCACAACCCGTTTCAGAAGTGGTTCTCCGTGCAGTATCCTGTGGGTCACTGGGTTTGGTTCAGTACAATTTGTATTCAGTGTCTAAACGAAACGAGTCTGTTCCGAATCTCGTGGCAGTGTTTTGCTCCATGCTCAGGTGCTGCTGAACTACAGGACTCAATGCAGCGTAAGTGGGACACTGCACGCTGTCCCACAAAGCTCGACGCTTTGCGATGTGTGCTTGACTTTGCTTATTCTCGATGGAACACACTCAATCCGCGCACGCCTTACCCGATGCCAAGCGATGCAGTACTGCAACGCTACCTCGACACGCTTTGACCTCCGCCTGCCGCCGAAAAAAAGGCTGTGACGACCGACGGACTGGCAGAACAACTAGCATTGGAATAATGCTTATTTCTTTACTCAAGCTTATTCCTACACTATTCCTAGGCAGAACAAATAGCACTGGAATAAGGCTTATTTTTCACTCATGCTTATTCCTGCACTATTCCTACACTATTCCTACACTATTTTGAAGAGACCAGAATAAGCCCTTATTAAGCAGCTAATAAGGGTCTATTTTGGATATCATCTGGGGGGGGGAGTAGTGCGGGGGTGAGTGAAGCATCTCATGACTATAGGGATCAATTCCCCCATTCCCTACTAAGCACTAGACAGGCAAGTCTTTAGAAAGAGTCTTTAGGTATGGCTTACAGACCTCTAGATTCGGTCTGTCTATAGATGTTTATCGACTCCAAGGGTGGTAGTTAGGACAAGAGGTGCAAAGCAATCTATGTACCTTCAACCTTAAGCCCGAAACCACGCCGAGGATCGCAACATCTTGCTAAACCTTATAAACCCTAAACCCTTGAACCCTAAACCCAAAACTTTGCCGAGGATCGTAACATCTTGCTGACCTGCTCATCGTCGCCGAAGAGATCCGTGGCTTCTTCCTCGAGACGAATTCAATTGTGGTCTTAACGGGCCTATGCAATGAGCACTGACAGTTCCTTCATGAACGACAGGGAATAGAATATACCATAATTCCCGTCATTCAGGATGCTTCAGGTATTGCGGGATGCTGTCCATCAGCAGTATGGTGGGATCGGAGAAGAAGAGAAAAGGGTGACGACCAGATTCCTGGAAGAATGAATGCTACAGATACTCTGCAAAATCATGAGCCTCCTCTGAAACATCCGGGGCAGGTCCAAAATATCCCACCCCAAGCGCACTAGAGACCTGGAGCCGGGGGTTTCCTGCGGTTCAGGCTATGCTTAGTTTTATTTCGGGGGGTCGGTGACAGGGTTTGCTTCGCATTTAAGGGGGTGTTGGGCTTGGTGGATTTGGGGATCCAAAGACTTGGGAAATCTTAGGAATACGTCCTTCGTTGATCAGGACTGTTGCTGCATCCCCTTGAAATTCTTTCTGCTCTGATTACCAGTAGTGAGAATGACATTCATCGACAAGTGTTGCACAGTTTTTGTTCACAGCTACTGCTGCAGATCCATTGGTCGGGTTGACATGTATGTTGTTGATACTCTTGGCAAATTCCTAGACCCTGGAAGGTAGGATCTTTTCTGGATAGCCTATTGCTTGATTAGAATCCTACAATCGGAAAACAAGGTATCCAACAAAACATGTTACTTTGTAGGTCTAGGTATCTCATATTCTGAACGACCCAGTCTGCAGATGTTGTGAAAGAGGCGTCGGAGACGCAGGGGAAACCAGAACACCTAGGGTATAGGGCTTTAAGGTTTAGGGTTCCAGTCCCTGCCTCTATGCAGTTGTAACAGTCGGCAATCATTTTCAGAAAGAGCCGAGCATAGAGGGCGAAGAGATCCATGTGGGTGCTCCGCGCAATCACCTCGTGCAATCTGGAGGTTTCCGATCATTTGAACTTAGGGGCTGAATACCCTAGCAAAAGCAGGCTAACCTTGTCAAATAATTATGGTAAGATTATATAGACCCCAAAAGGTTAAAGGTTACCTATATACTCGGCTACAGACTAAGCTGAAGCTTCTGTTCCTTTCCTGGAGCTGGGTGAGGGTGGTTCGGGTGTACAGGATCTGGGGCCTGCCGGTTTTGGTGAACCCCCGTTATAATCTCTTAAAGAAGTTTTAAGTTTTCTGGTTGGGATTGAGAACCATGGTGTCGGTTAGCCTGCCCCAGCACCCCTAGGAGCGGCCACTTCCGGAAATCGACTGGTTCCAGGATGAGCCGACAAGATCTATATCGGGCTGCCTTGTCTGAAGGCTTCAACATCATGCAGGAAGACACTCCGGACCCGGTGCTGAACTGCTGACAGCTCCGCGAGGTCTCCGGGCACGCGAAATTCTGCCAAAACCAACATCGAAGTTCCATAAATCCTGAAGCCTACCAAAAGCCGGCCTAGGGCTACTCACAGTACCCGACCCCCTTGGGCCACTGCAGAACATCGGGTTTTTTGACTCGCCAGTGTTCCTAAAGCCGATTCCGTGCACCCTCCCACCCAACCCGTCAAGGCCTTATCGCTAGATTCAAGAGATCATCCTTTCTCCACGAGCATGCTTCCGACTCCTGCTCTGGCTAAGCATACACGGCCATCAACTCACCCCAAAATCAACTCGACCCGAATCCGAAGCCGATCGGATGACACTGAGCGTGTTGCCTTCCGGAAGCCATCGCCATCAAGCTGAAAAATGTGCGCACTCTGCGAACCGCAGCCTTACAGGGTCCGGGGCTGAAGACTTTACGCTAGCGGCTCGGGCTTCCTGGGCTTAGTTAAGGGTTCACGGTTTATGGATAACCTCGCATCCTAAGCCTGCAACTCCTAGACCCTACCGCCCATTGAAGCCCTATACTCCCTAAACCCGTGAACCCTGCAGCAGGTGTGCACTAGATTTCAGAGCTCAGACACCCTCCGAGACTGGAACCGGTTGTGTCCCAAACACATGGGTAGTTGTCAAAATTAGGGTCCCTTTTGGGGTACCCTAAAATAATAGGTGCCGTATTATGATAAGGACCCAACAAGGGACCCTAATCTTGACAACCACCCACATGAGTTTCATTAACCCAAAGCTAAGAGTCCCTGAAGCCTGGAGCCCTTCACAGGCAGCCAATCAGGGAGCCCATGAATCCAATAGCTCACAGATACCAGGGTTCAGAGCTCACCAAGAAACCAAGAGGTTAAGCTATTTCGGAAACTTGCTCTCCTTGTACGAAGCATCGCAGCATCCCTCAATTAACGGCTTTCTCAATTTGGCTTAAGTTTCAACATTTCTGGGCATCAGGACTAACATAGGAGTCGTAATAACTAGCATAGGCTTTTGGGGCCCATTACACTGCTGTATACTAACGATGAATTAGGTCTCCAGTTTGGGTTTTCGGAGCAAGGTTTTAGTTTTTTGACACCCCTTTTCCTCCTGAACGGTTCCAGCCCCGGTGGACCAAACATCCCAATCCCCCGAAAGATCCCGAATTCTACACTAAGACGCCGAATCCTGAAAGCCCGCACCCACAGAGCCCCAGCCCTATCCAGCAGACTCCACACCAGGATCCTGCGCCCCAACAGCTGAAACATTAAAATCTGCAAGGCTCGGCCGAAAGATCCCACATCGTCTGTAGTCTTGAAGCTTTTACTCCTTTAAGGGTTCCAAAACGCTTCTAAAAAAGGCTTTAAAATTTAATTGGAGGTTCATGGGTGTTATAGTCACCCTAAACCTTGTTGTAGGTGCAGTTAATAAGTCCCCTACCTATAACTTATAACTACCTATGAAGCTCCAAGTAGGGCTGTCGGCCCAGCCTAGGCGACCGCGGTACTCCCAATTCCTCAGCTCGGGAGCCCTCTCTGCTCGAAGCCCAAAGTCAAACTTTGAGGTTTAGGGGTTTTGGGGTTTTTGGGTTTAGTTTAGGGTTTAGGGTTAGTTCGATGCGGCCAAAAGCTGAGCGAAGCGGGGCACAGACAGTTTAGACCAAATGCCAGAACGTTGGGCTCTGTACAGTCCACCTCAGCCTTGTAGTTCCCAAGTAGGACCCCGAAGCCGTGGACTCTTTGGCGAGGAAAGCCCAGCGGCAACCAGAGCACTGCTTCGCTAACTCGCATGCCAGGCAGGATATCCTCTGTGGCATCGACTGCTCTCGAGTCTATGTGGGTTTCGTTAAGCTTGCAGTGGGCACGTATACATACGTATATATATATATATATATATATATGTATAAACACCGATGTATGGATTTGTGGCCTACTTCGGTCTATGTATGTTTAGCTGACCAGGACCGGTCCTTCCTGGGATGTCATGGGATTTATTCTAAACCCCTATGGCCGGCGCACACTTTCTGTGTCATGTGCTACTTTTGGGAGCTTTTGCAGACGTCTTCTTCCTGGGAAAGGCGGTGTGGAGCGACCTGGTGCTAAAGCTTAAAAGAGCCGTGTCATTTAAAAACAAAAGGTTTGGTGGGGGGCATACTATAGAGATAACACTATCACAAGGAGCATGACTAATCATACTCAGGTTTCTACGTTACATGGGTGTATATAGATGCCCTAACCTCATGAGGCCCTTATTGTGGGGGAGAGTATTGTGCTTCGACCAGCAAGCTGATACTGTCGTACTCCTACTACTGCTAGTATGTGCACCCGCATACCAGTCCAGCCGCGTTCTGGCACGACTCTTGCATGGTCGAACCTGATGCTGATTCCTAGTTGTAATATGGGGCCAAAGAAAAGGGACTAGACGTGCAACATCAACCAACCATAAAGTACGATCTATGGTTTAATGTAGCCCTCAAAACCCTATCCTAACGAAGAAGCACCGTCAAAAACCTGACAGAACTCCTTCCAAAAACCCTTCTACAACCCTCTAAAGGTTCTACAACCCTCCAAGGGCACAGCAAAAAAGCCTCAAAGAAGCCCCTAAAAAGGGAAGCCCTGCCTCGACCAGATGAGGTGTCTCATCCCAGCTGTAGTGGAGTTTGCCATCCCGGACAAAGTACATCAGCTCACCTTTGGCGCCTGGAACAGGGCTTTTCTTCCACGGACGGAAGATAAGGGTGTATAGAGGGTTTTTACAACAAGTTCACCTTTGCCGCCTTTCAAGGCTTTTCCGGGCACGGAAGGAAGAGAATACGAGGGTGTTTGGGATTAGGGTTTGGGGTTTACGGTTTAGGGTCAAAGAAATTGTGAGGTTTAGGGTGTCACGGCGTTCAAAGCTTGGAAGGTTCCTGACACTTGCGTGCAAGGCACCGGCTTGGAAAAGCTCCTCCCGATAGACGACACTCAGCTCCTGCCGGGGATCGGCATGTGTTTGATGACGGATCCCACTCCTTCGCATCCTCCGCGCAGTGAACTACAAAAGATACAAAAGAAACCACCTTGATGCACAAGTCGAGTCTGCGATAGCCTCCGTTGTAAACTTGCGTGGTCGCGGGGCTGGATGTTTCGGGTGCACAGCAGCCAGAGACGAGATTGGAAGGCCTTGGTTTTGGGGATGAGCGCGTCGCCTGCCCCACTCCACGCTGGCATGATGCAGAACAAGAAGCTGCATACCGACAGCACCCTTGACCCTTAACGACGGGATCACTAACGGGAATGATCCCCGAACAAGGACGAAGAAATCCAAGCCCAAGCTCACAGGGTCCTGAAGAGCATTCGCACAGAGTGGGGCCACATCGCCATAGTTGATTAAAGCGGCATGTCTGATCATGCCATGGGTTTCCTCAGATGGAACGATTGGGGTTGTGATCCAAGGCTAGGCGTTAAGCTTCAGGCAGCTTGAGTTCTGTAGCTGAACTTACTCTGTGCAACGAAGCATTCCTACTGAGTTAGTCAAAGTCTTAAAGCCCTAAACCTGAGCGAATCAACAGCCCAAGTATACATGCCTAGCAACAACGCTGAAAGTTCAGCAACATCCTTTCACAGTTCACATTGGGTCTGTTGTCCTCGGCACTAGGAGCTCTTAACCAGAAGCTCCTCAACAAAAACCTCACGAGAGCTTCAACAAAACGCAAACCCGGAACAACCTTACAGCCATGTACACTACAATTTGGAGCCTCAGTAATTTAAACCTTGAAAGTCCAAAATCTTGAGATCAACAGCCATTAAACTCAAATCCTCATGCACGCCCTCAGCTCCGAATCCGGCGAAGCCTCAATTCTATACCGTCGAGGATACCTGAGTCGCCACCCCCCCCTTCCCCAGTAACCGCTCGATGTTCTTTATCGTGCAAGTTTCCAGTATTGGCATCCCCACCTCCTGCTTCAGCGCAGACCGCACCTGCAGGAATTTAAAGTTCACTGCATGAGCACCCAAGCTCGCAAACGGCCATCGCCCCAACCCCGATTCGTTGCGTCATAGTTGCTCTGCCAGTATTAACACGAAGACGCGGAGCTTTGTTTTGGCGAGGAGCTTTGTCGCTTAGGTCCGGTGATTTCGTGCATTGCTCCAGTTCTTCTCGTCGCGAGGATCTTTGCGACAATTACGGACACAGCAAAGCAGGGAGAACCAATCCTGTGCAGTCGAAACTCCTGGGAGCATGGTCACCTACACCTTCAACTACTTCGACCGTGTGAAGCATTCGACTTAGTGACCTCTAGTAAAGAAAATCTAACTCAACCAATCAATGTGACCGTGGGATGCTTTCTGGTTGGGCCTGCTGCTGATCCTGTATAGTCTCTACAGAACCCTAGGGGTTTAGTGCTTCAGCTCTCGCAACCTTGTCCGGTAAGTGCTTCAGAGCAGGGATGTCGCCGAAGACCACTTTGCCTTTGCGAGAACCGGCGAGCTGGGTGGCTTCGGGCCCTGTTCTTCATTCATAGTAACTGGGGTTATTACTAGGGTGACTACAGTTATAATTGCTTCTAACCGCAATTAAGGTACTTCTAACCATACTTACTAAGTCCCACTACTGTGCTTCTTGTCATGTTCATTGTTGCCCTTACCACTAGTCTTGATAGCTGTCATAGTCTGAAGGGCTTCTTTCTACCGCAGTGGGGTTCAAGCTGGTTCACCTAATTCCGCAAACCCTCACTTGTCACACGATCACAACTAAGCTCGCCAGAACCCAGAACTGAGCCTCGAACCCCTCCAATCCCGAACGCCCCAAGTGGCGCCTGTTTGGATTATGATCTCTTTGCGAGCTGCCGATAGAAAGTGGTACGTAACCCAAAGGAACCTCGACTCTCGAATGGACGACGACGAAAGGCCGGGTAGGGTGAAGCTGACTGTGCGCAACTCCCACCATAGCCCTTCTTCCAAGCCTTACCAATTTTACCTGTGTAAGGTAAATAAGGTAAGGAGTTCTTCCACCCACACGGAGGAGCGAATATAGGCGCCCGGAGTATTCGACTTGGCTTTGGGTTCCATTGCTGCTACCAAGTCGACGCAGTAGCTAATTCTTTTCGCTCCTACCAGAAATCTCAGACTCTCTACGTACCCCAACGTAGACACGAAATCTAATGCAAATGTTTAAGCCCGGAACACAAAATCCACGAAGGGTCGTTGATTGGCCGTTGATTTTATCAGACGCAAAATCATGGGGTCCAAGCTGGGGATATCGCCCTGTGCTCTCTGAAGCTCTCATATAGGAGACTCCGAATCCCAGCATGCCTTTAATCAAGTCCATTCTGCACTCGAAGGGGTATCGGAAACGTTTAGCTCCTTGAAAAAACAAGCCTTGTTTTTAATAGGCCCTGCTAAGAGAAGTTAAGGGAGTACTGAGTCAGGCGCTGGTCTCCCTGCCAATACCACGCTGACGGATGCAGCGGAGGATGTCTGCCGAGAGCTCCACCGACACTCGCTTCCTGGGTGTCCCAACAGATCCCAAGTAGGCTTTAGGTTTTATAGGGTTTAGGTAATGTGGGGCCCTGATGTAATTAATTAAGAATGGGGTTTTGGTGAAAAGTACCTGCAGTTGCAAGGCTTGTGGTAGGTTTCACCCCACAACAGCTCGAGGATCAAGTTCGCGAGGCCCTAGTAAGCCCATTCTGCCTTTAAGGAACGACGGACAGAGCTTGAGTCACACATAAGCCCTCGAGGGTTTCGGGTTTAGTTCTTGCATTCCGACAACCCAGAAAGCTTGAAACCAGAGTTAGGCAAGCTGAATCGGAAGCTGTTGCGAAGTCTCGAAAGAACAGTGAAATCCGATTGCTTAAAGCTTTGAGATTTTTTGTGTAAACTTTAGCATTCTATCGATCGCCATTCCTGCTCCAATTTAACTTGTATTACCAATGCACTGCATACTAAACTTGTCGAGAATACACCGAGCATCTCAGTCACATATCGTCTCACCATCTGGCTCGTGCGCACCTCCTGCGCGGTCAGCGTGCTGAACCGTGCGAGAGACCTCGGCCACGTAGTGATTTGGGGCCACGTATCAAGCCCGAATCCCTAACACCCATCAATTCCGGAACCCTAGGATGATAGGAGGATGATCCCAATTCTGTAAGACATCCCAAAGCCTACCGACCTGCATCCCACCTGTTGAAGTCCTTGAGATGATCAACTATGTAGGGATATTGCACTCTGAGATCTCGTTCTTTTTTTTGAAGCCAAGGAGCTGGTTGATGGAGCCAATAAAGAAGCTAAACCTGGGTAGTAATGTTGCGGTTCCCAAGCAAGCTTTATGAATAGCAACCTCTATAGAACCCTTTGGATAACAAAACTGTTCTGCGAAAGCCAGACCATAAACCCTAAACCGAAAGCTCCGAACCCTAAGCCTGAGGGAAAAAGTTCCCTCATTGCCAAACAGGGACATGATGAGGCCGGAGAGTGTCGCAAAGAGTGAGAAAAGTCGTTCCGGGGTGTTGACGGCCACAACATCCATGGCCGCAGGCGTAAACCTTGGCCGTTCAGGAAAACCATGTAACAAAAACCACATATGCGGACATATGTACATATATATATATATATATATGTATATACACATATATATGTATATGTATATGCGCACATACATGTATGTATGCATTCACACATATCATGCGCATATATGTATGGCATAGAAATATACAATATAGACATACAAGTGAAGGTACATGTGTGTATATATATATATATATACACACAAACACGTTTTGTTGCTTCATATATCACCCTTGTCCCTGCTAAAGAACCTACTGTCCAGATTGATGTGGCAACCATTCGCAAGAGCGGCCGAGGAACTGGGTGAGTGCCCAATGGAGGGAGAGGGCGTAGAAGAAGGACCAGCCCGTTTCCTCCGGCAAGCTCATCCCTAAGCCTAAACCCTTCACCCTCAAACCCCCAAGTATTTAGGGGTTTCGAGTTTGGGTCCCCAAACCGTAAACCCGCAAGCCCTGAAGCCCAAAAGTGCTTAGGGTGTCGGGCTTATAGTGCTTAGAGGACCAACCATTTTCCTCTGGAAGGTTCAGCTTTTCCCTGTAGGTGGCTATCCAGGTCATCTCGTCCGAGGAGAGGTCGCCCAAGGCGTACCTCAGGCTTTTGCGGTTTTTGTAGGGTTTAAGGACGCAGATTAGGCTGACGTAGGGTCTACGAAGTTTATGCAAGGATATTTTCCTAAGTTATGGTGTACTTTTATTATGTGCATTTCTTGCCGTCGTGGCATTTGAAGACTGCGAACATCCGCCTGCAATTACATCCTGCCGACGTTCTTGATCTTTGCTGAGTGAATGTTCCTGACAATATCGTAGTTACCCCAATGTGAAGGTGCCACAACTCGGTGTCAAGGCACATATATGATTCATATATGTCCTTCGCCCGAGATCAGCAGCACCTAAACCGGAAACCTTTTACCCGGAGCCAGACATGCAAAGCTTGCTAGAGTCGGCAAGGTCACCAGGCGCAAGCCGTGAAGTGGCAAAGCAGAGCGATGATGGAAACGTGCCTGGGATCTCGAGAAAAACGTGGAACAAGCGAGCAGCAACAATTTGGACATACCCGCAGTGCACCGACGCCCAGTTACTTCAAAACGGTGAGGAAGGTCTCCACATAGAGTGAGGTCCACTCCAGTCCCATGTTCCTCAGGGTGAAACGGAGGCTTCACGTTGGGGAGTTTAAGGCTTCATATGGCTGTGGCATTTAGCGGTTTAGCGCTTGGGGAGGTTCTGTTGGGGGCGTTGCCGGACTGGTCCCTCGAGAGCTTCGGGCTTTGAGGTTGGAAGGTTTCACTGGTAGTGACCAAACCGCGTATCGCCTAGACGAAAAGAATCTACAAATCTCCCTGAACCCTAAACCCTCAAACCCAAGCCCCTATACCACGATTCTCATAAAGAGCCGAGGAGCAATCCCAGCACAAGTTCTTTGATCAAGGACAGCCGCCCAGCCATTTTTAACCTTCGGCATTCTGCGGCCACCCTTCCCGACCTAAACAACTTAACTTTAAGGCTGGGGTTTATTGCCTCGGCCAGCAGATAGCTGCGTCTGCAAACCGTTTCGCCTCTAGTTCGGGTCATCAACAGCGCCTGGGTTCCTCAAGTGACCGAACGACTTTCCAAAGCAAAAGACTCCATAGCTACTGGTAGGGCTCCCTGTGACTCGGATGCTACTTATCATGTAGGGTATATGCTTTTGCAGGGTCCCAGAGTATCTGAAACTCCCCGATGGATTTGGTCAGCATGATTAACCTACTTCAATAATTCCAGGCAATGACCCTACAGTATCGAAGCGGCTAAGATCCCATCATAGGACAACAAGGTAATTAAAACAGTTCAGGCTCTAAGAAACTTTTACAGCAGTGTCAGTGACGCCCCCACTGCTTCCAGGACGCAGTCGAAACAGCCGGAGGTTCCGAAACAAGCGCAGCAACGTCAAAGTCTCCACGGTGCGGAGGTCGAGCGCAAACCTCGTGAAACACGCAGAAGTGCTGCTTGAGTGCACCTGGTACAGTATGTAATGCTGTGCAGGACAGTGATAACGCGAACTGCAAAGCAAGATAGTGCCTGAGGTCTACTGTTGTGGCTGTATAAGTCAACCTCTGCAGGTTTTGATATCGGGTAATGCTGTAACAAACGGGGAGAAGTGTCACCATAAGTTCTGACGCCTACACCCCACAACTCGAAACCCTTGAAGTCTTACTCCTGTCAGCTTAATGGGACACATGGTTGCATTCACAAGATTTCGTCGTGGATTCGTGGCCATGGGCAGCTGTCGTTTGTAAGTCGGTAGCATTGGGTTCATGCTTTGCAGAGACTCTCATGTGCAAAAGTCGCACGCCCAGACCCAACAAGCCATGCATGCAACCACTTCCTCGTACAAGGAGGTCTTTCAGCTGTACGAAGTCGACTAAATTCGCAATGCATCCCGCTGTCCGTCGCCTCCATGCCCTAGAGGGCAAAGGCACAAGTACACCCATCCCTTGCACCTACACCCTAAACTTCTGAACGCCACATCCTGAACAAAGCCTGGACCCGAAAAGCCTTGCCCCGAACTCGTACCCAAGCCGTGGATGTGCAGGGACCAAGAGATTCGTGCGTATCCTCTGCGAAACCACAATAAAACCCTGTCTTAACAGACCAGTCATGTGGAGGACGACCCAGACCCCCACAAGGATCCAACAAGTCGATCCTTCACCTATAAAGTACCTCTAGTAGCATAGGGCCCCAAATTAGGACATTAACTATATATAACGAAAGAATACATTGGGTGAGGGATCTTTTGCGGAAGGCTGGGGGTCGCCACTAGCTGCTTTAGTTCATGAACTCCCCTCCATGGCCGCATAGCCCTGAACCAACGGTGCAGGCCAGCAGCAGGGACATAATGTCAGAGGAGAGCATGGCCAAATCCGGCACAAACCAGCCGGTGAGGTAGTTCACTGTAATCTGTTTCAGGCGCATCTCCACAAAACCTGCAAACATCGGGGGGAAGGGGGTCAAGTCGGTTGCAAGCCAGACCACAGCAACATGAATACAGTCCCACGGTACACTAAGCATCTTAAGAACTCATCGTAATCAGTACCCAGTACCAGCGGCAATCGTGATCATAAGACACACAAACGCTCCTAACAAGCAATTAATTAACAACTACTAACGCTGCGACAGTCTGCCGAGCTCTAAGCTCTAAAACCCAAACCCCTGAGCCTATCCCACCTTTGAGTTGTCGATATATTAGCCGATACAGCATCTGCTACGGTCCCCAAAACTCTCGCTTGAGAATACCGTCGAGGCCAGCGGAGGTGCCTGGACTAGTGCTTTACGGCTGGGGCAGGCAGAGGATGCACCGTCCGGCCTGTGCGTGGGTTGATAAACCCACGGAGGAAGGTAACCACAATGTCCTCGGGATCAAACCGCAAACAGAACTCAGGTCGTCTGCGCTTCGCTGAGGAAATTGTCCCGATGTAGACTGTAGAGTAACGTCTCATAGTTTTCTGGCCCTCTGCTCAATCAATCAGGGGTGGAGGGGGGCTAAACCAAATGTCTCCAAAGCTGCAAGGCAGCGTGGCTTCAACTTCTGGCTTTACACGTCTTTGTTTCTGAGTTCGCCTAAAGCCAGAATCCTGAACGTCCCGAAGCCTCAAGTCCCGAACTTCCTTGAATTCCACTCCCACCGTCCGAGTTGAGGTTGATGGTATTTTATGGCAAATCGCTAAAGCAGTCATCAGGGGCTTCAGGCTTGAACGAATGGTATTGATTAGACATCCAGTGTGAATGGATGCCATGCTCGGGCGAGGAAGGCTTGATCGCTGTGACGATTTGTGGGAGTAGAGTACGAGTAGATGCGATCCTTACAAGCACCGCACACAGCTGCTTTTTGGTATACGATACACATCCACTGAACTCATCCGTCAAGGAATAATAGAAACGCCGAGGCTCAATGATCCACACGATGCAGCTCGTCAGCTCCAACGACTCCACAACACCTGATGTTCGAAACACCTTTAAAAAGTGTACAAGATGAAAGTCGCACACTGTCTCGTACCATGTACACGTATCTTGTCTGTGACGGGGCGTGAACGTTGCTGGGATCCTTTATTTGCTTATATAGGTCTCTAAAAAGGCATCAATAAGCCCCACCACCCAACTACTCAACATCTGGATTCTACGCTGCATGCACGACCAAGGAATCCCAAGGTCAGCACACCCTGATCATGGAGCAATGCAATCACGGAAGGGGATGTGCAGAAATCACTAGTCCATCTACCAGGAAAACAATAGCGGCAGCGAAGTCCTAACACGTCAACTACACCCACCAAAACATTACCGCGCTGACGAATCCCACGACTTTTCCATGTGATGAGTCGAGCTATTTCTAGAAACTCACAGAGCACTCGCATGCCAGATCACCATGTGGAGTAGGCTCGTCAACGAAAGACATCTGCAAATCTTACTGAGAGTTTTAGAAGCATATATGCACATGCAAATTCAAGGGCACATGCGGTGAATTGCTTGCGGGTTCATGTGTATTGCTGCATTCTGGCAAGTGCAGTCCTTGGATCTAAGCCCCAGATCCTAAAACCTTAGACCCAAACCCACATTCCTTCACCGGCCCTAAAACCTCAGACCCTAAACCCGCCGTTTCACACCGTTTCCTGTGCTGGTGACTCCTCAGTGAGAACGGAAGAGCCCCAAAACCTGTGCACATCCTCATCTGGGCAGCACGATGGCCCGCCAACGGCTCGTGTAGCGACCCCGGCACTGTGGCGCGGAGTGCTCTCTCAAGAAAGCTTCAACCCTGTCCAACCTGGTCGGCGTCATCATTACTGTGAGGGACGGCAGTTTCTCCGCAAGGCTAGCAGAAGCCGGCCTGACAGTCTGTACATCCCACGCGCCATCCGCAGCAACGACAAAAGCCTTGACGTGCGAGCTGAACCATTGAATTCTTCGAGCAAGATCGAACTGCTGAAAACGAGAAGGCTCCCAAATCTTCCGCTTGGCACAATAAACCAGTGGTAAAGACTGCGTCACCAGGTAGTAGTCGACGAAAAGCTGAACCATGGAAACCCACTGTGCTTTAGTGTGAACATCATGAAGCCCTCGGAGCCATGCTGCCAAGCTGTCAATATACGAACGGCTGTACTTAACGTACAAAGACAGGCAAACATCACTGGCGACGTTAGAACACTGCAACGGCATCCGCGGCTGCACGGACTGAACGAACTCGTTGCCTGCTGAAGCGGGCCTCATCCGAACTGCTTTCCTGGCAACGGCCACGTGAAGCCCCATGATTGACTCGGTCTGCGACCGGAAAAGGATCAGCTCATCCCGAGTGGCCTCCCACAGAGCCCAGAATTCTGAGGACCTCTGCTGATTTGCTTGTTTCGCCGCAAGATCAGCGCGGTCGTTCCAGAAAGCTTGCCACTGCAGGACAGGGTCCTCCTCGCTCTGCCATTCAACATGCGAAGGCACTCAGCACACTTGGAAAGGCACCTGCAGCCTCTGTACTTCACAGGCTAACAGGCGAAGCAAATCCCTATTAGGCGACTTCTCAGCCCTGGAAAAATCCCCTAACAAAAAACCCTGAACAGTGTCAACAACCCCTTGGCAGTCGGACCAAAGCCTTACGGGCTGACGGGCACGGTTAGCATAGCACAAGGCAGCCAAGGCAGCGTACAACTCTGCCCTGTATGCCGTTTGCAACCATCCGGGAAGGATCCCGGCCTCAAGCACGATAGCCTCAACACCTACGGCATACTTCGCCGACACCAGAGCCCAAGAAGCAAGGCTGAGGTGCGGCTCTGTTGGAAAGATGCAGGACCCATCACCCCTCAAGCTAAGGGGCTCCAGAAGCAACCCAGCCAGTTTTGGGGATGAAGAGCAAAGGGGGGTTGGAAGGACTTTGGGCGCATAAACCACGCGAAAATGCTGCTCAATAGAGGAGCCTTCATGATACGAAAAGGCTGGTAAAGGGTGTGGGAAATATCTTCCTACACTTCTTAATTATGATGATGACAATAAGGGGATGCTATACTACTGCAAAACAAACACTGGCCACACTTTGGTTACGTGGCGTCCCGAACCCCTGAAAGGCACCAGCATACATCGAAACGTGTTAACGCATTCCAAAGTCAGAAAAAAGCCTCTACCTCCCTGGCCGCTTCATAAGTAGGGGAGATGCCCCGGCCCTGGACATACCTCCACACCCAGCAAGTCCCGGTGCCTTCTGACCGCAGCGGGAAAGCAGTCAGGAGAGGAATCATGATGGTGTCATGGACGATGGTCACGGAGCAAACCTGAGTGTGGCAGTGAATTTTAGTGGATTGCGGGTTTGGGTGTAGAGCTTGAAGACTTCAGGGCTTTGGGTTTCAAGGTCTTGTGTGTGTGCATTTAGACTTTAAGTCGTGTGGTCTTGAAGATGATAGTAAGTTGCTCTGAACCTCCTCAAGGACAAAGAAAAGCAACATTTTGGAAATGCATCCAAGGAACGACGTCCCAAATAAGGCATTGCAAGCTGCTTGGCCTGTCCGGGTTGCAGCTGAACACAAGTTGACTAGTGCTCCGGCCCCCACACAACCATGCATCTGATAGGACTATGCATGCTCAGAGAATCTAAAGTGTCGCCGGATCATCAATAGACAACAAAGTGAAAAGTCGCCTTCTCATCCAGCAAGTAAGAGATTAGAGATCCGATGCCCGAGAACTCGAAGCCGAAAACCCCAAACTCCAATTTGGTGCAAGGTCCAGTAACAGTACTCAGCAGGAGAAACTCAAGACAGGACACTGAAATCCCTACGCTTTGACAGCGCCAAACCGCAAGCACAATAACAAAACCAAAAACTCTGGCCCTCCGGCGGCCTTGATACCAGCTTCTGCAAGCAACTGTTGCTCATCACCTCCTCCAAAGCAAACTGGAACTTACACGGCTTCAGATTGAACACTGTGAGCCGGTTGTGTTCGGGTGCTTCTTTATGTTAGCTGTCACTTGTTGCTTTATCTTACCTTTGGTTAGTAGGGAATGGAGGAACAGGGTACAATTACAACTACTATTGCTATCATTCTTCCATTCCCGACTAAACAAAGGTAAGTTATGTTAGCTGTCACTTGTTGCTTTTTCTGTCCATACACGTATATAGGATCTTGCTGGCACTGTTTTGTGAGTCGACAATACGGCCTCCATTTGCGGAAACTCCCATTTAGACGGTGCCTGCCAGGTAGACTTAGCGTATGTAATGCCACGAAGAGGTACATGCCGCCCATGTACCCACTTTCAAAGTGAAATTTCTAGGGACCGCAAGGCAATACTCTTCGACTTGTCTGCGCAATCAGCTGGTTTTGCGGATCTCTGGTTTCCGAGTTTCTTATAATCAGGCACGTGTTCGAAATTCTCAGCTACTTCTCGAGCTGATCTTTACTCTCTGTCTCGGGCTCTCTCGCTCTCTCTCTCTCTCTCTCTCTTTTTCTTCGGGCTTCTGACTTTTGAGGGCAGCTACACCTCAATGCTGCAACCGAAGCCTAATATCCAAAACTCTCAACTCTGACTTGAGTCCTCGGTTCGGTGTCTCTTAGGGAGCACCTCAAACACTGATACTGATTCAACTACTAATGACTTTTCAACTTTCTTGATGTGATTTTGTGTCATTTTGCTCCAGGCGATTTTTGTGAACAACAGGTTTCTGGAAACTCGCAAAGTATCGACTCAGATGGCGTCTTCGGGATAGTTCAGAGTGGAAGTTGTTCAGCGGTGGGCCACTGGTCTGGCAAATGTGTTAAAGAAGTGGAGAACGATTCGAGGCTTGGGACTCAGGTCTCAGCATGTCGTACATGGTTGATGCGTGAAGACGTCGATTTTGGGGGTTGGGTTGAACGAGATACACAAACATAACCGATAATTTCAGAAAAGAGGAAACCAAAACCAGTAGCTCTTGCCGTTGACAACACTTCCTGCCGCAAAGGGAGCCCTTTACAAAAGACATCCCAGGAGGACATGCTTCCACCACCGGAAGGTCCTGGCCGGAACGGATGGTGAACCTTCCCGAAGATGCGTTGTAGGGGTTGCGGATTTAGGCTACATACGTCTGCTGTGCCGGCCATCTTCAGGGTTGCTCAAAACAGAGGTGGCGGCTCGACTCCAAACCCAATTTTACAACCTAGCTGTGTCTCCAACAAGCATAGTCCTCAATCCACAGTATGCTGTCGTAGAATGTCAAGTGAAATATAGGGGCCTAAATAATGACCAAGACTATCGTGGGGGTTCCTTGTTGTACTTAATTGTAGTGTAATATGCCCCAAAACCCCATCCCAACCACCAAGGGCCCCCACATCGGACCCTAAACCTCACCCCTCCTTACCACCGCGGTCCCAAGGCCTCGAGGGGCGTCTGGCGAGGTTCTTGGCAGATCGGCGCTTCAGCTTCGGACAGTCCTCTGTCTGGCTTAAGTCGGGTTTAGGGATAAGGGTTAGGGCCCCTTTTTGGGTACCCTAAATTAGGGCTTTAGGGTTTAGGGTTTGGGGTTTAGGGTTTAGGGCTTATAAGGTTTGGGGCTGAGGGTCCAGGGCCTGAGGTTGGGCTTTCGGGTGCAATTGAGGGGGCTGTTCATCTATAACCTTCCGTCGTGAAGTTCAGGTTGGGGAGGAAGCAGCGCCTTGATTTTCGAAACAAAGGCTAAGAATGCCAATGATGTAGGCTAAGCTAAGAATGCCAATGATACAATATAGACAGAGGACCTGGCTTGGAGACACTCCGCATCCGGAGTCTGCTACTACCGAACCCCTGAATCCCGAACATGCGACCCTGAACACTAAGGCGAAGGCCTTAAACTCACCCTGAACCCGACATCCTGAACCCCAGCGCCAGAAACTCATCGCCCTGTTTAATCGCGGGCTTGAGTCCAGTAGCTCATCGAATTGTGCTGTCTTGCTCTTGAATATGAAGGGGGATTGCCACACACATTTCTCCTCTTCTTGTGGGACTTGTTGTGCCTGTTTTTTGCCAGCATTTTATCCACTATGTTTGCTCATGCTGCTGCTGTTGTAAATGCTATTGCTGGTGCCTTTGCTGCTGCTGTTGAAGTGGACTTTATTGTTACTGTTACAGGTACACGCACTGCTACTGCACCGGCTACTGCTACTGGCACTGTTACTGCTACTGCTGCTGCCGCTGTTGCTGTTGATGTTCCTGTTGTTGTTGCTGCTGTTGCCGTTGTTGTTGCTGTTGCAGTTGTGAGTGCTAGTGCTAGTGCTGTTGCTCATGCTGTTGCTGTCGGTGTCGCTGTCGCTAATGCGGCAACTGTGGTTGTTGTTGTTGTTGTTGCTGGTGTTGTTGGTGTTGCTGCTGCTGCTGCTGCTCCTGCTGTTGCTGTTGTTGTTGATGTTGCTGTTGCTGGTGCTGTTGTTGTTGTTGCTGTTGCTGATGCTGTTGCTGTGGCTGTGGCTGTTGCGGTCGCTGTCGCTGTTGCTGTCGCTGTTGCTGCTGCAGATGCTGTTGCTGCTATTGCTACTATTGCTGCTGATGCTGTTGCTTTTGCTGTGGCTGTAGCCATTGCCTTTGCTTATGCTGCTTGTGTTGCTGCTGCTGCTGCTGAAGTCGGTGTGGGTGTTTCAGTTGGTGTTGGGGTTGGTGTTGTTGTCGTTGTTGTTGTTGCTGCTGTTGTTGTTGCTGTTGCCGCTGCTGCCGCTTCCCGTGCTGCAGCTGCTGCTGCTGCTGCTGCTGCTGCCGCTGCTGCTGCTGCTGCTCTAGATTTGTTTGCTGCTGCTGTTCATTTATATTCTGACTGTAGTTCTTGTCCTGATGATTGTCATATTGGCCTGCTTTGCGAATGCAAGTCTGAAAACTTACTTGATAAGAAGGCTACGTTCGACTCTCCTGTCCCCATTGGGCGCAACGTTGTTTCTTGCTTAGAGAACAGATTCCGAACCACAAATCCTAACCCAAAGCCTTAACATGTTAACGCCATCACTCTATACTCGGCGAGGTCATGGCAGTACAGACATCAGCACAAATAGACATGCTGACGCACTTTGCCTGCTATAGGGGTCGGCATAGTTGGTCTTCGTACCCCCTTACAGTCCCTGATATGCACTAGTCACCAGTGATGGACCATAAAAATCTGTAGATTTCTAACAATCAGTACGGAGCTCGGGTTGCCTGCTCCTGATTATACTTACTCTTCGCGATCGTCGTCACAAGATGGCTATGCTCAACGCCTGTAGTACATAAAGATGGCCTCACCTTTATGTGATACAAGGCTCGCAAGCACATACGAGCAAAAGCAGCATGGATTGCAACAACAAGTAACAGTACCATTGTAGGGGCACCAATGGGTCTCACGCTTGCTTCATAGATATTCGCACACCCGCACGCACATTGCTGCGACTCCCTCCACCACCTTTACTTTTGCAGTTGCACTGATTCCTGCAAGCGCTTCGTGTGTTGCCATCTATGTCACGTCTTCAAGTCTGAAACTTGGGCTCAGCAAATGTTCACTCCAAACGCAGCTAGGTAATCACTTCATTGGCTTTGCTGGGCCCCGAAGGAAGGCGAGCACCCCAACTAACAAGGCGGCACCCGACCCAGATCTACTCCCAGAGTCTTGACTGCAGGCTTCAACAAACGGCACATAGTGTTCTTCGAAGGCTCGATGGCTTCTTGCCAGAAAGAATGCCTCAGCAGGCATACGGATGCAAGATGCACATCAGGGAAAGCACAGGCGCGGATTGCGGATTCACCAGAACTAGCTGTATTGCCACCGTTATCTTCATTGCCTACACAAGTTTTCTTTCAGTATCATGCATGTCACCGCATCTATATGTACAGGCATCCCACCCATCACCGTTACCAGAGCTGTCATAGTCATCAACTCCATCATCATCAGCAGCATCGCCATCACCATCCACAGTATAGCCATCATGAAAATCCCCGTCCTCATGGACTCGACAACCATGTTCAGAGGATTGTTGTGCTTGGAGATTCGGACCGGAGGACTTGGGAGTAGGGTCATAGCTCAGGTGCGGCTCTCACCTTGACTCCACAAGAGCTCACTTGCTATACCGACCTTACCTATACTAAGGCCACCCGAGCCTCCGACATGCGGACGAAGACAACCGAGGCACTCTTGCTCTGGAGCCCTGATGCCGCGCCCCCCCCCCCCCCGGCGTAGGAACAATCCGAAACCGCAGGAGAACGCCATAAATCTGGAGCCAAACGCGGCACAGGGTCGGGCGAAGCAGCACAGTATGCACCTTTCCCAAAACAGGGGACTGCTGATATAGAGACTCTGGATCTTTTTATGGATGAAAGGCGTTGGTCTCAAGCCCAGGTGCAGTGCAACATCCTGCGCCGGCTTCTTGAGCGATTGCGAAGGCGTCGTAACCACAGCCGACTCCTTGGACAAAAGATTCGCTCTGAGGTCAGGTCTTGTGTGGCTTTGGATTGACCTGTGGGGCTTTGGGATTCTGGTGCTCGATGTTCCGTACTGCTGCGCTGTGGTGCAATTCACCATGTTGGCAGTCACTGATGCTGCTGCAGATGTGCTGACCATCATCACCACCCGTCTCATCGCCGTCATCATCAGCATCACCGAGAGAACTATGGACTGTGACCCGCGAGGATTTCTTGGTCCTGTGTACTTGGCTGGAACTTACGTTAACTTCCTACATCGATCGAGACTAGGGCTTGTGGATTTCGGGCTTGGAGAACAGTTGTAGGGGCTAGGGTATAAGTAATAAGAGGGCATGGTGTAGAGTGTAGAGTTCAAAGTCGAGGTTGTCAGATCATCAAGCTCCGTATCCTTTTCCAACCGTTTGCCTTTACTGCAATTGGGTGCGGCTGTCAATCAGCCCTGAATTTGGAGCAAATAATGGGATTGTTTGATGCAGTTGGAGCTTTTGGGGAATATCACACTTTGAAAGTCAGCATTCGAGTTTCCCGACCACTTCGGGCGTCGCGCCGAGCCCTAAACACGGTAGGATCATGATTGCAAGCTGCGGATCACCCAGACTCTTGATTTTGATCCTGTCAAGGATCCCGAACTAAGGGGCCACTTAAACAGGTTGAAAACAGAAAATACCAATGCAACCAGAGGCCAAAGACTCCAAACCCAAGAGGGTGGAAAGTATACTGGATGGAGATTGAGGAGTTGGGATTTCACTAAGGTTCAGGGTTCAGAAACTAGGATTTAGGGTTCTGGATTTCGGGTTCCGGGTTTCGGTCTCCGAATCCTTCACACACCTCGTGGCTTAGAATCCACATCATGAAACAGAAGCATGGGACCTCGAAATCGGGATATTGCTTGCCAAATCCGGAGTTTTTTGCACATATTCAGGCTCAAATCTGATATCCTAAACTAAACCACTACAGGCATCCGTCACAACCCTAAAGAGAGAGTCCGAAACCTTGAACCGAAAGTCCGATGTGGCGGAAACTCTGATCCCGAAACCCCTATAGGGAACCCCAGAAAGTTGGAACATAGATTTAGGATGATTCTTGCTGGGATTCACTATACTTTACTTTAAGGCCATGAGGCTAATGATGTTCCAACTTTCTGACCATAAACCGTAAATCGAAAACTTACGGCCCTACACCCCAAACCCCTCAACCATACAACAGAAAGGTAACACTAAGAACCCTAAGCTTCCAAACCTACTCAGCTCAGGGACTGCCGACATCGCTGAGGTCTGCCTCGCCCAGGGGTCCACATCCGGAAGCGGCCCCTGTGATGGATAGGCGGAGTGGCTCTGTTGTGTGAGTTTTACAGTTTAAGGCTTGCCCCCACTCTGTGCAATCTACAGCCGAAGATCCAGTGCCTGACCGCGAAAATTCGGAAATCTTTTGCGTTGCAACCGTTAGTCGACATATCAACTAATCGTGTAGCACCTGTGGCATGTGCAGACTGCGACTGGATCTAGTAACTGACGAACTTGAGTAGATACTCTTGTAACTTGGACACCCACTTGCAACTTTGCTCAAATCCTCCTCACCACTTCCTTTGGTCCCGCAAGCGCAAGGCGGCCATTGCAACAGCTGGTTTATAATGGTCCATCAACTTCCGGAAGCAGCAAAACCGCAATAACATGAGGAGAGATCTGCCAAAACTGTTTTGGTAGTTACTGTTGCTTGGGAGCAAAGGAGATGGACAGTTAAGGCTGTTCAACCTCGACAGCAGGACTAAACCCGAGCCTCTTGACAAGTTGTAACGCCTTGGGTTCAGCAACCTTCCGGTTGATTCCTGATCCCGACCATTGACCATTGCCTCTTCTGCCAGGCCGAACAGAAGACTGGCGGACATCTGCAGGTAATCGAGGGTAAAGCAAATACAACACAAGGTACCCGTCATGTCGATCGCATGTATGTCTGTGTGTGTGTGTGTGTGTATGTGTGTGTATGTGTGTGTGTGTGTGTCCGCGCGCGCGGGTGTGTGTGTGTGTGTGTGTGTGTGCGTGTGCGTGTGTGTGTGTGTATTTTCTGCTGTCGCAGTGCATTTCCATGTACATATGTACATATGTGTATATGTGTGATTGCATGAGTTTGTATGTATGCGCGTACCCGCGTGCATGCGCAGGTCGGTCGGCAAGTAGGGCGGGTAGGGAGGTGGTAGGTGGGTAGCTAGCTAGCTAGCTAGCTAGAAGTAGCAAGCTAGGTAGGTAGGCATGTACGGATATGCGGCTGTACGGATGTATGTATGTAATCTACTACTACTGCTACCACCACCACCACCACCACCACAACCACCACGACTACTACTACGACTACTACAATTATACCTCTCGTTGTTACGAATATCACTGATACGCTTGTTGATCTTATGATCAGTGTTATGCTGTTGTTGCCAAGGCACTTTCTCTAGGGGACAGAATTAGAATAGGGTTTTGGTGCATTATACCAGAATCTTAGTAACGAGCCCCCACAATAGTGTTGGTAAAAAATTAGGCCCCTATATTATATTAACCCCCAGCATCCCCCTGCCTCACCCTTTGGAGTGGCATCTCCCACGTCCTTGGCTCTCTGAGTTTCCTGGGTTTTACGATCCTTTGTGGGGGTTTCTGCTGGGCTTCTTGAGGTCCTGTTGTTAGGGTTTCTGTAGCGCTGTTTATAAGGTTCTACTGGAGTGTTAAAGTCTTTGTTGGGGCTTCTATAGGGTTCCATGAAGTGATTCTATACGGTTCATTCCAAAGGCAGCAGCAAAGAGCACTATATAGTTCAGTGCAAATGGCTGGGCCCAAAAATCCTATGGCCAGAAAGAAACCCTAAATTCTAGACCTGATATCCTAAACGGCAGGTCCATGCAAGCCCTAAACCTCTCAACTCAACCCTAAAGCTGAAATTCAAGAAGAGCCAAGGCACACCGAGGCAGTAGCTCTCGGAGCCGTCGGACGGAGAGCCCCCACCCACGGATGGATGCAACCTGACATCCCGGTTCAAGGCCGCATACGGTTTGGTGTTGAGGGTATCGGGGCTGTGAACTAAGCCGCTGACCCTAATTACGCCATATAACGTCCCCCAAGCTGAAGCCTTCTGTAGTCTGGACCCCAAAAGCCGAAGCACCGAAACAGACCGAAACCTACTACACTTCGGCTCAGCCACTCCGTGGGCTCCAAAGCATCATCCGCCTTCCACTGCTCAATGGTCCACTCGCCATCCTTCTACAACAGTAAATTTAGTAATAATAGTAATAACGGTAGTACTATTGGTAGTAAGGATAGTAATAAGAGTGATGATAGTAGTAGGAGAATTATCCGGAAAGCACACTACTAGTTAACTACCTAATCAAGGGGCTATGGGGTTCGATAGGCCTTTACGGGTTCGATAGGCTTTATAAGCTTTGTAGGGGCGATCAAGGATTTACGAGGAATTTCGTTTTCAGGGATTTAAGAGGAGATATCGGCTTCCTGTGAATTTTGGGAAGGGCCTTAAATCCTTGTTTATTGCTTTATTTGGGGCTTTGGGGTCTCGGGAAGAGGAGCCCCGTGATCCCTTTTTGCTGTCGGCTCATTTCGTCAGTAGCAAGATTCAGCTTGTGCTATGAACTGATGATGTTTAACTTAAGCTTGTGCCGTGCTGTCAAGGTTGGTCTCATCTGGCAAAGGTCGTACTGATGTTTGCCTGAACCAGACTCCCTTCGTCTCGTAGCGGCGGAGTGAGAAAGAGATAGATTTCTCCTTGTTATAATCTCGGTTGATGGAGGCTTGCTGAAGTCTGGCGTAACTGGCGCTTTGGGCTGGTCTGCTTTCTCATTCATACCATCACGGCTCTCTATCGGCATCTCGAATACTTGTCCTGCTTCCATCATGCCAGCTCCCCTGTGGCTGTTCAAATTCAATTCGCCTTGAGGCCTTCAAAGACTCTATCTGAAGATGTGGAAATGTCAAGGAGCCTAGATCCGAAACACAAAAAATTATGCCCAAGCCCGTATACCAGTAGAAAAAACAATCATAGAAGAAAGACAAGGAAGACCCCCAGACGCGAGGCTCAATTCCTACACCGCGAGAAACTCTTGGAAGCGCCAGCCTCCTGAAACCTTCGGCGAGGAGAAACATCGCCTCGGACACATCCCGATAGGGCGTTTGCTCAGGCCCCCAACCCTTCACGGCTCGGGGTAAAGGAATCCTTGCAATCGTAGTGATATTCCGCATCTAGGCTTTGATTGCAGTAAGATCACTACATCTTTTTGGTGAGCCCGACCCGTTGACAGAGATTGTGAACACGGTTAGTTTAACTTTGGCGGGATTCAACAAAAGACAGAACTATCGGGGGTACGGCAAGCTTATATGAGAAGATTCATGGGGTGATTTTTTGCAACTGCCCCGGGCAGCGCGATAGGCTAGGCGGTCTACTTCCACTGCTTATCCCGCTAGTTGCTCTCAAAGTCTCGTCCCCTCACTGCTTGCAGATTTCACAACACAAGAGCCCTGTACACTCTAAACCTTACTTCTCCTGTCGCCTTCTGCTGGAAAGGCACCAGTGGAACCAGAGGGGTCCGAGAGGGTGAATGCCAATGCCTGGCGAGGACCCGGATGCTCCGCATGTGCTTTGTGCTTTCTCGGGCTATCACCCTACCCATAACCCCATGGTAGTTCCTTTTTGGGATTACCTCATAAGATTCTAAAAATGAACCCCAAAAAGGAACTACTTTGGGGCCAATGAGTAAACCCTAAACCCTCCTTTTTCGTCCTTGGTTTCAAAGCAGGTCCTTGTGCGGAGCGCGGCTAGGAGTTTCAGCTTCGGAGCAGGCAAAACCCCTGTGGGCCCTAGGCTTCAGGACTGCAGGTTGGAGGTGCAGGGTTGTTTCAGGTTCGGGGCTTATAGTTCAAGGTTTAGTGGTTTTTAAGAGGTTAGGTTTAGGGTATATGGTCTCGAGTCCGGGGATCAACTTGAAACCCTCTGACCGATCCTGGAAAGTCTTCGGGACACTGCACCCTGAGAGTCTCTCAACCTGCAGCCCAGGAAACCCCTGGAATCTCAGAACGAAGCCCCGATAGAAGGGTCGGACAAGCACAAAAAACATGTCTTACAGTTCCCTACTATAGCAATGCCAAGCGCTTGCCTTGATGGGCGAGTTTTCCTTCACGATCTCACCAGAAGAATCCTGTGAGGTTGCGGGCATGCAAGGTTCAGTTATTATTGGGTTTTATCTGAGTTTCTTACAAATTGCATCTGCTAGTAAAAGCCCTTGTCAAGGCTTTGGCTTCATAACATTAGGGGAGCCGTCTTGCGGGTTCCTCTTAGCAGGGATCCTCCACTTCATGACCCGCTCTAAATCCAAACACCTCCCGAAGCCTTGGATTCCGGCACCTTGAGGTAATAAAGGAGGCGTAATAATTAGAATAAGGTTTTGGGGCCCATTGCAATAGTAAGGAACAACCAACATATTATAGGCAATTTTCTAGGCCCCTGTAGTAATCCGCAAGACCAACCTTCCGAGGCCCAATTCTGTCTGCCTTGCTGTAGGAAGCAAGCCGGTCGCCAAGCTCGAGCCTTCGCGTCGCGTCGCATGTGCACATGCTCTTACCCGGTATCTCGTTTCGACAGGGCAGCAACATTCATCCTCTAATCAGTATTGTCATGATGAAAACTGTTCTAGCGATATTAGTGGTCGTTAGCTGGTTGTCCCTGTTTGTTGTATCACAGTCGGATTGGAGTTGCTTTTCTTACTACCGACATGGCTAAATGTTGGGGGCCCCGAAGCGGCAGCTCATGGGAGCTTGGGGCACACATGGAGGATCTGAGGGTCGAGTAAAGTCGGATTACAAACAGGGACCCTAGACCCCCAACCCTAAAGTATGTGCGGATACACACATATGGTAACCCACCCGATGAGCTGCCGACACACTTTTTGCATATAGCATATAAACATAGACATATAATAACAAATAAACCAATATCTATCTATATATATATATACACATACACACATGTATATATATTGTGTGTAAGATATCTGCTATATATGCGTATAGGGAGGGGGAGGGAGAAAGAGAGAGAGAGAGAGAGAGAGAAAGAAGCACTAAACCGTATAATGAAAGGAAAAAGCTGGAAAGTGTATGCAAAGGCACACAGGTCAATCGAGTCGCAGGGCATGTGACTAGTCTTAACCCGAAACTCCCAAAAGAACCACACACCTTGAAACCCTGAACGGACTAAGCAACTCGGGAAATCACCCAAAACCCATAACCATAATATCCTCAACAAAGCAACACACCGAACTCGAAACCCTGAACCCTGAACCGGTCGAGGCGCAGCTGTTGGGAGAGCTGTGAGTCGAAAGAGCAACTCAAGCTCCGGGCCACCAGCTGCAGCTGTGCCTGGCTAAAAGAGGGCTCTCTATCAAATGGATTCTTCGTCAAAGTCAAGGTCTTATGCTTGATCATGGGTTTGGCTATAGCAGTCTCCGTTTCCGCAATTAGAACAGTGCTCTGGGCATAGTATAGTATGATCTCCAAGAGGAACCTTGGGGAGTCTGATGCTTGTGTGTTTGTCGTACACATCACATGTCTCGAGTTTTGAAGCTTGTTAAACGGTGTTACAGGTCTTGGTTTTGAAGGCTCTATTTAGGCTGACGCAGCTTTGTCTATACATGGTGCCAATGCTTTGCACGGTTTAGGGCCAAGGTTGAGTCAGTGTTTTGCTGTAAGGTGGGTGTTTGGAGCTGAGCTGATGTGAAGTGTTGAAGCTCCAGGACCTGTGGGAGTGGGCCCTGCAAGGCTCTGACCTTTGTGTGCGAAACCCCATATACCGCAAGAGGTGCTTCTGGTGATTTTCCCCGCAGAGTTATGGCTGCGCAGTGTTGAGTGCTGGATTCCGACTTCAATGCTTCGAGGTGTTCAGACTTGCTGCTGCAACAATGGTCCATGGTTGACAGCATGTGAGCTTGTAGCATTCCACACTTCGTTGCGCAAGCAAAGCTAATTCTTGCCATAAGACTACGTCTACGTCTAAGGAAGGAACATTCCAAAGCCACCAAGGTCGCCAATGTCATCGCCACGGGACTCATCGCCAAGGTCAAAGAGTTGCCAAGCACTCTTCTCGACGCGAATGACAACGAAGATCGCCACCAACAGAAACAACAACATCATCATCAGGTCATCGAAAGTTGTCCTCCATTGCCATTACCATGTTCATGCTGATAAGACACATCAGCATCACCAGCGCCGAATACAATCATCATCCTCACCACTGTCGTCAACAACATCGCCATCATCAATAACAACATCATCGCCGTCGTCATCCTCACTGTCATGACAGTACTCATCAACCTCGTCATCATCATCGTCATCATCGTGATCGTCATCATCAGCCGCAGTGAGGTGTTCGCAAACCTTCGGTTGCCTTGTTCTATCATGGACTACGCTTTCTTGTACACAATGGCGGTCAATACCAGGATGAGCATCCTCAGTTCTACCAAGCCGTCATCATCGCCCTGGTCCTGTTCATTGAACTCACCATCGTCATCATCACAATCATCATCACCGCCATCCGCATCATCATCATCATCATCATCACCCGTCATCATTATCATCATTATCATCATCGTCCTAGTCATCAGCATCCCTCTCATCTTCACAATCACCATGTTCGTCCATGACCGTCATCAACTTCATCCCTAGCATCACAGAAGAGTCTACAAGTTTTATTGTACCAGCAGAAATGTACACGAGAAGCATTGGCTTCTTTCAAGCCCCAATGATCGTAATGTCGCCTTCGCATAGGCCGCAAAAGTTGACCGATCCTCCATGGCGCCAAAACTCATATACCGAGCCAGGTGCCTCGGATTCTATAGCTATAGTGACTGCTGCAAACCTGGCACGGGCTTGTCCGCGGAGTGTAGAATAAGGAATGTATATCATAAGATCTCATGGTTTCTTCTTATTCTGCGCCTTCGTTTTCCTGAACTCCCCATCACGTTGTGCCAGCAGAAAGCACTGATACTAACTGATCCGAATGACTTCTTGTCAGACGAACCGATTGAGGTTGGGGTGCACATAACCATGTTGTCTAGTTTTTTAAAAACACAGGTCTTTTCAGGTTTTTCAAAAACCATTCGATGAAGAAAGGCTCCCATTCAACTACGCCCAAGCCCCGAATGACGAGGCCCTCTGAACCATGCGGCTCAGATCTCTCGCCTCTTGAGCCGAGCTGAGGTGAACAGCGACGCTTTCATTGAGAACAAGGGAACAAGGCGTTTGTGAGCCTGTAATACTGTAATACATGATTGTGTTATTAAGTATGCGCAGGTTGGGGGTTCTGATCTAGAACCTGTAGGACCTAGAAGTCACACCGACGAGCAATTCTACGACCAGAAGTTTCTGTTACCGCTTCTGCTGTTGCGTGTGCTGCTGCAGCTGCTAACACTACTACTGCTGCCGCTACCACCACTACCACTATTACTATTGTCACGGCTACATACGGCTACCTCTACTGCCGAAGAAACTCCTAGCGGCTGTGCAGTGGGTGGGAAAATCCGCTGCCACACAGCTTATAAACGCTAAAACATCCGGCCTTTCCCCGATGGCTGTGGCTTGCCGTTTTGAGTCTCGTCGGGTCTCTGTAAACTCCAACCCCCGACGCCTGACTACAGCAACCCCTAACCCTAACCTTCCCCGACATAAACTACAACAGAAATAACAAGACCCAATGCTAAGAGTGCCCCACGGCTCCAACCTGAATCACCCCGCTACAGTACATCAAAGGGCACAGAATTTCAAGGCATCGCCGCCTTTGAGTCCTCGGTTCGTTTGCAGGCAACGAGGGTCAATCGGTTTCATTGTCCGCCGCTTTGCTACACTAAGAACCCCCTACACCCCATACCCTGAAGCCTGAAGAATCCAAGCACATAAGCGCCTGAGCCCAGTAGAGTCATATAAGAGCTACCACCATGCGCACGGCCTCCTCTCTTGAACGGGGCAGCAGTCACCGCGACCACCGACCTCCTTTGGGGGGTCTAAGAGCTTGGAGTTTGAGGCTTTGGGCTGCTTGTGGGCTTGAGGCTTAGGGTGTAGGCTTAGGCTACAGGATGTTAGGTTGGAAGTGCAGTTAGTTGAAAGGCTTAGCAAGGTCTTTCCTTTGGTGTTGTTTGCCTTCTTCTGTCGTGACTCTGGTCAGCATAGGGATCTTGTCGCAACGGCAGATAACGATCCAGTAACCAGTCTCTTTTGGGCTCGGAGGTGCCTCACCTACTACATGCAGTTGCCGTGTAGCCTGTAGATGCGGCGGGACTCCACTAAATGTCCGCACCCCCTATACGCACTGCTTTCCGCCTGCCTGTGGCCTTTTCCTGACAGCGTGGCGTCGTCTGAAACGCAAGCCTACTGCTCTGCAGCATATCCTCTCGAGCTCCCTCCTGGGAGTCATGTTGGATCCCCGACTGCGGGGGTATCAAACATGCAGCACCCTCAGATGAAGTTGCCGGACTTCCGGGGCCAAGACTCGCCAAGCTTTGGGGCACAACTCGAGACTTCTGCAAAGCTATTGACTGCGTTAGCGCTGGCTCTTTCGGAACACCGCTCAAGCCTAAACAAAGGATGTAAGGTATGCGAGAAAGCAATGCTTGGTGAGACCAGCCAGCATGAGCCAGCTCCTGCGACTCTGGTGGTCGCTTCAAAAAACCAAACCACCCTGAGCCCTAAACCCAAATGCCAAGCCCAAACCCCAAAACCCCGAGCTCTAACTGGATTTATCTTCCAGCCCATATCGCCATAGCACTTACACCACGGAAGCACCAGGTCTTCGTCAGTGGTCTGCGTCCGTGCCCTGAAGCCGTCCAGGCCTGGCTTCACTTAAACCCTACCTGGACTCGAAAAAACCTCAATGTTCAAGAACTCGTATGAGGAAGGTCTTACTAGAGAACCCAAGGAAGGTTTCGTGGGATCGGGGCTAGCGCCCGAAAGCACTATAGACTGAAATCCCACGAGCTCAACCCTAACCACCTATACGATCTTGTTTTGGTCCTTGCGTTCAAACACAGCGGACTGAGACAAGGCTTGTGGAAGCTAAGATTAGATTGCGACCAAACTGCTTTCGAAGACTCCGCGTGTCCCTACTTGTGGCCGAACCCTACCTGGACACCCCTCAACAACCCTTACACATACATGTATGTGTATAATGTAGATAAATAGATGTATATATATATATATACATACATATACATGTGTGTGTGTGTGTGCGTGTGTGTTGAAGACACCATGACAAGAAACCTCAAAGCCAGACCCTCACGAATCTCTAAACTGCTGCTTGCACACGCCTCAAAGGGCTCGAAGGAGACCGAAAGGCCTTCCACGGCATTCCGCCAGCATCCATCTTCCTGGATAAATTTACCCTAAGGCTCAAAATTCCCCAGAAGCCTTATATAGTATGGTCGTTGGGCGCAAAAAGCTTGAAAATGTGAGTCCTTACAGCCTTAGCATTATGTTGTTAGTAAGACTAGTGCCTGTCGACCCCTGGTCCAGCTCCCCCTTATTGAGAGCCTATGGCCTCCATGTCCACAGCTCTCCTAAGGTCCTAGCCTCCGGATCCCTTGGTGCAGCTTGACCAACTTCTCCCGAACTATGCAAGGCTGGGTTTTGAGATCCACCTTGCGCAGGACCACTACTTCCCAGCTTCCCTTCGTTCTCTGGTGATAAGTCTTGCGCCTGTCGGTCTCTTTCAACCGTGAAGTCTAACTAAACCCTAAGCTCTTGTACCGATAATTACACTCTACACCCTGTGCAGCCGGAACTTGTTCTCAGCGGGATGTAAGACGTTGAAGGCCGCGGGTTTAAGGTGTTTACGGCTTCAAGCGAAGTCCTAAGGCTCAGGTGGAGATGTAGGGTTGGTGCTCTGAAGTTGACTTGTGGCGATGAGGTTTTCAACCCGTAACATCGAAGACGTCAACTCGCAGTTGCAAGGCTTCCCATGAAGGCACGGCGCCCAAAGCCGCAAACCCTATGCACACTCTAGGCCGGAAACCCCAAACGCGACTCCCAAAGAGAAATGTCTTGGCGAGTCGCCCTCGAAGGCAAAGACTTCTGCTCAGCTCAAGCGCTGCGCGGGACCTGACATGCGGAAAGGATGGGAAGCCATACTTAGACAGGTAAACGACGAATGCTGCACTGCTTGACTTGCTACTGAAACCCTGGTTTGTTGCAAGACTACTTGGAATGAGGGTGCGGCGGGCTTCTCGGCCATCCCCTTGTGTATGCTTGCCAAGTGATCATCCGGATTCGGCCCTTTTTTAGGGCATTCCCATGCGCAGCCCAGTCGGCTGCTCACGAGAACAAGACTTGAAAACGACGGGTCAGTTGGATCGGCAACTGACCGGTGCAGCTGCTGCAATTCAACACCAACCCGCATTCAAAGGCTATACTAGCACAGTACACAGAGGTATTCTCTGTTTCATACAAGGCCGTAGTCATGCATGGACGATTCTTTGTACTTGTCCAAGCCGATTTTCTTGAGGGGCCTGGAAATACCATCCGCTGAAGCCACCTCCTGGTACTTGTCATTGGCAATCTGCAAGGCCTCTTCATGGCTCTTTCCTTCCATGCGATGGTGCGAATAGCGAACCTCGTGCGCGAAGACCGGGATCCATTCATCGAAGAACTTGTCGATGGATCCTGGGCCAGTCATGCTGGTGCGCTTCGAGGTCAAAGGGGATTTGGACCCCACTAGCCACATGGGATGCTCTCCGCCATCGGCCTTGTCCAGTTGCGATGCTTCACCCGTAGATGGGTGAGCCTCCACCCAACCAGTGAAATGGTGGTATGGATTGTTGTACCACAGCATGACGCGATAGACGGGCACTTTGCAACAGTTCGATGCCACATGCTGCTCCGTGCAATTGCCATCTGCACGGTTTGCATGCGTGGTGTGCACCATCAACATGCAGCTCTTAAAGCCACTTCCTCCCTGTTGCATACCCATGGCATAGCGCCTCCCAGGAGGCGGGTATGGGTAGTGGGGCACGAAGTGCCACAGATCTACCTTCTGAGCACGGCCCGGGAAGTGCTTTGCCCTCGAGATGATCTCCCTACCGATCTTGGCGCTGCGGGTGGGATCGCTTGCGTTGATATCTGCACATGTTGTGCTGATTTGGTTCACAAAGCGATGGTCCAACTCATCCAACCACGGATTGCAGTTCATGTAGTACTTGTACCAGGGCATAATGAGCCACATATTGGAAAGAAGCCACATGACCTCGAGCATTCCTTGACGGCAAGTCTGACCGATGACCGAGACGTAGACGTCTGGGAGGTGTAAGATGATCCTAGTTCATGGTTGGGAGAGGATTAAAAATTTACATACTTATTCCTTATTGGGTCTAAGTACCCATAAAAGGGTAAAATGCTACCCGACTTTGACAAAGGATCCATGGGCCGTTGCGGTAAGGATGAATCGCCTTCATACTGCGCCACACCGCTCCGTAGCGACAGGTGCAAATGCAGAAGGTGATGCCGAAGATCCAATAAAAGACCTTCACTCTTCTGGGAAAGGAAACTACCTTAAGCCACCAAACCCTACTTTTTTCTAGGGTCCCTATAAACTGCATATTAGGGTTCATAATACATAATAAGAACCTACACAAAAATTAGCATTTGGTAGGCTAAGGTAGAGATCATGTTGTATGTCCCTAAAGATCTATATTGAAAGCACCCGAAGCAAAATACTTTGAACCTTAAGGACAGCGGAGGAGCGTAGTCCAACATCAGCGACACAAGAGCCAGGATGCCAGCGGGAAGGTAGAGGAAGAACACCAGCGCGAAGGACACCCAAAACATGGCAGTGCGTTCGATAGACTCGGTTCCAGGCTTGAGACATGCCACGTAACATCTCACCAAAACGACTCCCGGAATTTGGAGCAGAAGGACCGGTAGAAAAAGGACAAGCATCTTCGGGAGCATCCAAAGAGCAGTGGTGATCATGCAGTAGCGAGCGGCGCATACTGACAAGCCTGACTCATCAGTTGTCCATATTTGATCTTTGCTTGTGTCCGAGCCGTCGGATTCCTTAAGTGACACACCGCCTGCTTTCTTGATGGCTCGGATGTGGGCCATGCATTGTGCCGACTCACCGTTCAAGCGCATGCGTGTCGCCTCATCTACCGTAACTTTCTCCCACTGTCGCTCCTCCACTGACATCTCTGCCATAGCCTTCACAGGAGAGGAACCTCCGGCACCCATCTCTCCTCAAGCTAACACAGGTCCTTGAGAATCTGAAAACTTTGCATCGCATCCACGACTCGAAAGAAGCATTCAGACACGAAAAGACATATCGAGACCAATCACACTTTAGAAGACTTCCTCAGTTGTGGTGCAGCTACCTCACAGCCCCTTGTCTGAAGGTGTCTTTTGCCGCCGACAAAGATTTGAGGTCTCAACAACAGCAACGAGAGCATGTTGCCCCAAGACTCACTTGCCTGCACTTGCCTCTACCCCGAAAAACCTTCTAGCAAGGCGTAATATAGGGGCCTCAACAAGAACGGGGTGTTGGGCTGTATGATAGTATACATATAATCTGGAACCCGAACGTCCCGCGCTAGTAATGTATTCAGGACTCCATATTACGACTGTTGGTGTTCAGACTTCGTGCCCGGAGCTCTCCTAGAATCCTGTGTAAGAGACGAAGAGCTTACCCGCTTTTGGAGTCTGTCGGTCCTAGGGAGCAAAGCCGAATCAATCATGAGTTGAGCGACTTATATGACGCACTATTGCCTCATGGCTACATGCAATGTGAGCTGAGCCCGCAAACATCATTAGTTGTCACACTCTCCCTTCTAATGCCACGGGTCGCATGATTTGTTCGTGTCCGGCCTTCTCAGGGGATAGAGCAGCTTCAGAGCAAAGTCATCGCAGAACAGCATCAGAGATGGCCATAGATATCGTTCAACATGAAGACCTCAGAGATTCCGAATTTGATTGGACGCTGCAGGCTCTAGGGTAGGGAGTTGTGGGCCTTTAGAGCATCAGGACAACGTCTTAGGTCCTCGGGAAATGTTTGTTCGAAGCCGGAGGTTGCCCCGCCAAAACTCGCAAAGATCAAATAGCACCAAAGTTGGCAATGCACGCTCGGGACAGGGTATACAGCTGTGTAGACTACGAGAAAGAAAACACATTACCAAGGAATCGCGGCCACAATCCTAAAAGTTATCAAGCCTAAAATCCTACACAACCCACGGGTCTCGAGCTCTTGGGCATTCAGGGGCACCTCCTTTCACAACTAGAGTGAGGTTTTGAGGTACGCTAAACTATGGTTGCACAGTTACGCTAAGGGCACCAAGTATTCAGGCCCCGGCTTTATTCAGGCTTAAGCTCAAAACCTAACCTTCCGCTCAAGGTCCCATGCAAAGATCATGAACATGTCACTCAAGAACGTCGTTCTTCTGACATAAAAATTTAGCTGATGTGCTTATCTAACATACCTAGTTCCTGAGGAGAGGGTTCTGAGTCCGAATATCAAACCCAGCATCGCCGATCCAAAAGCCGAAACTCCAACACCTGACTACAAACCCGCATCCCAGAAACTCGAATCATCTGCTCCATCCTCGCATCTCTTTTCCATTCAAGCCACACGAAACCAGAAGTCGAAGAAACCGGCCTTAATCATCTGGGTAGTTCTTGAAACTAGGATCAGTAGAATCCTTGCCCTTCGGGAACACCCCGGCAAAAATGTCTCTGATTTGGTGATCTTTACCCATCTGGATTTAAGGATTCGCCTCAAGTCAAGGATGCAAGGATGCTTTAGAGTCTAGAGCTTTGAGGTCTGAGCTGCATTCATGTTTGTTTCTGCGGCCGTTGTTATGTTTCGTTGGGTACCTCGGAAGGAACGTTACTTCACAAATGATGATACTGTTTCTCCTTGAAGCAGTGCTGTGACAAGTGTAGCCTAGCCTCAACCAAACAATCGAATAGAGCCAGATGCTGTCGAGCTACATCCTCCCACAAAAGGCGTGACGTATAGGAAGACTGCTCCCATGTAGAGGGCTCGGACAATTTAAGGGGGTCACAGTCTAGGATCTTGGGCTTCGCAGTCTATCATAGCTCTTTGCGCTCACTGGGGCTACCACTGTGAAGACCTGGTGAGTGGCATTTTGCTGCCAGGCACTGTCATGACATGATACATAAGCTGATATCCTATATAGACTAAGTGGTTATGATGGTAAAGGCTCTCCCCGCACCTCTAAGTAATCCTCAAATCCCCTAAAGACCAAGTGCCCTGAGGTACCGCAGCGGCTTCCCCAAGTACTTTCAGCCCGGACCCCTGAACCCCAACGTTCGTAGTCGGGCTGGCCTTCAATTGGCTCGCCTGTTGTGACTCGGGCCTCCCAGCATGAAGAGCCATGGTTGAGGGCATTCGTGCTCGGAGTTTCGGCCATAGGGTCTTGGAACTTTGGGTTTAGGTTTCAAGCGTGGGAGGTCTTGCGATGGCTTCCGAGTCAGCCATACATAATAACCAAAGGCGATGGGCATGCTGGGCAAGCAAGACGGTATCGGCTGGAAAGAGGCCAACATGAAGAGTTTCGGGCTCAACGATGACATAAGACATAAGATTGTGCAAGGAGCATAACCGATCATGACCTCAGTAGTTAAATTATTGCTTTGTTGCTTCCATGCTGCGTTGCGTCTCATGTGCTTCGACATGCCCGGCCTGCGCAAAGGGGTGCACCTCGACAAAATCAGGCAGGAAGTTGAGGGGCATGTCGTGCTGAGTCAGAACCTCGACCAGGCACAACATTCCGTGGCATTTGCTGATTCTTTATTGCCATGATATCCTGCCAGCGTGCATGGACCTGACTCGTGCAGTGATGTTGATCGAGCAGCCATCTCTCTCGCATCTGCTTTCTCTACAAGTAGAAGTATTAGCGTCATGCTGCCGACCCTGAACGGATGCGTGTTGATGGAAGAGAACACACATTGAAGGCAGGCTGCCTGGCTGCGGTTTGTACTGGCAGCTACTAGCGCGTGCAGAAGCAGAGTGGATGCCAGTGGCTTCTGCATGGCAGTCTCACACCGTCGCAAGCCCGCAAGGCTAACTCTGCGACGAATCTGCTAAAATCAAAGCCCCTGCTGCACCTCAAGATTTGCCAAGACTAGAAGTTGAATACAACATGTACTACTCGTTCTGAATTTTACATGGGCTAGCCGTACAGTGGCTGTGCCGCTTGGAAAAGCCCGTGCACATTCACTCATGCTCCGCCAGCAGTGAGGACCGAAAAGGAGCTGCACGACGGGACCGAAGGGGGTTTAGCATCCGGGTCACGGGCGACGAGGTGGCTGCTACCCTTGTCGCCAGCTCGCCCACCAAACTTGCCACGGCGGGGCTGAGCGGCCTTCTTGAGCACCACGGTGAGCACCCCGTTCTCGAAGGTTGCCTCTTCAGGACAAAGCTCGAAGCGGCCTTCGGAGTAGTCGAAAGAAAACTCCTGCTCCCACACACCATGGTGCTGCCGGATAGGCTGCACCGGCTGCACGGCATGCTCGTCAATCGGTCGCTTCTTGTCCACACTGATCTTCACGCCGTTGGGCAGCTCCTCCCACTCCACGTCTTCTTCTGTCACCCCGGGGCACTCAATGCGGATGTAACGGCTGGTGCCATGGGTAGTGGTAGTGCGGTCATAGACATTCACGATGGGATCGAAACTGACATCGTGAGCGATGATCTCGCCCAAAGGAGAGATCACTCCGCGGGTCTTCATGGCCACACGGGCCCCCTCCTGCGACAGATTCATTCGCAGCACACCTACGCATTGGTACTCTGTGCTGAGGCCTGCGTCTGCAGGAGTAGGTTGTTGCGCATCGCAGAACTCCACGCCGATGGCCTGGTCGGGACCGCACACAGAGCTCTCCGGGCACTTGGCCTCGATGTTGACAAAGCGTGGCAGAAGCCGAGCGAGCTCTGCCTTCAAGATGTCTGCGAGGACGAGCTCCGAACCGAGGCTGTTGCGATGCTCCAGGCTCTGCAGCAGGTGCTGCCGGTTCTTCTCGTTGAACGCATCACCCGCTTTGGAGAACTCGTAGCAGAGGCCGATGTGGTGTAGAGGGGGTGCCCCCGTTCCGGCATCCTGAGTGAAGATGAGTTCGCCCAAGTGGGACTGCTCGCCATCGTAGCAACGTGTCACCTGGCGGCTGAACAGCTTGCAGGCCTCTTGGACCTCCGTGGTGTTCCGCAAGTTGTGCACCACGACCAGCTCCTTTTGCTGACCGCCCTGCACGTACTTCTGGTGCAGCATGGCCACATACTTTTGCTCGAACCAGGTCAGGTCGTTGACCACAAAGATCATGTGGTGCGCGATTCGCGAGATCATCTCGAACATCAGGGACTCCGTTGTCTGGGCATCGAGGATCGCATCCTGAACTGCTTGGGCACGGTAGGATACCGTGGACTGCACGCCAGCAGAGTCCAGGACCAGCATCCGACGCTCCTCGATCCACAGGAAGCTCAAACCCTTGGTCGTGTGGAGCTTTCCGGAAGGCAGGTTCACCCCGAAGAGCTTGTTGATCAGGAAGGTCTTGCCCTTGTCGAAGAGACCAACCACCGCGACGATGCGGAACCTCGCGGCGCTCGCCACCTGCAGCTTCGACTCCGCATGCTGAAGGAACCGGATCGCCCCTGTTGACAGGAACTGCGACAGCGACTCGAAGGCCAGGATGGCGTCATACGGAGTGCTGCGTGACTCCACCATCTTGCTGTGCCAGCGGCGCTTCAGGCGCCTTTGGTGTATACGCCATGCCAGCTGCAGGCACAGGACCGCCTTCAGCTCTCGGGACTGGCGGCGGCGCCGTCGCTCCTCCGCGCGGCGAAGCGCCTCCCTTCCCCGGATGTTACCCCCACGCCATATGGCCTGAATTCTGGTGGCGGCTTCTCGGAACTTGCCGGGCCGATCAGCTGCCAGCGCAAGCATCTTGGCATCCTTGCCGTCGATGTGCTTGAACTGGATATGCACTTCAACTGGACTTGTCAAATCAGGGGTTTCGCAGAAGCTATTGCGTCCCCGGCCCGACAATTTCCCATTGGCTGGGTTGCATCTCTCTTCTGTGATTAACGTGCAGCATCTCGTTCCAGCCAGCTCCCATTCCATTTCCAGGGGGACTCTGGACCAGATGAACAAGCTGCAGAAACCTTCTTGTGCTTCAGTGTCCCCGTGGGGATAGAATTGCAGCTTGAAGTCGTGCCCCCAGAGCCGGAGTCCATGAGTGGAAAAGCAGTCTCCCTTCTGCCTGCCCGCGAGCTCCGCTGCTATGAGACGCCACGTGGCCTGACACGCGAGATACGGTCATGCAGGGGTCTACAACCGAAGGCTCTGCCAAAACATGCCAAAACGAAGTGATGCTGTAACTCCGGGCCTTCAGCTCGAAAGGGTGGATTTTGACCACGCCTCCCTCCATATTGGGAGCACTGCACCCACACAGGCAATGTGGCTGCGAAGGATTCCAAGCCACAAGCTGCCGCGAGGCCACACAATGTGCGAAAGCAAACACGATTGTGTGCAGACGTCCCTTGACTATCGGCGAAAGAGTGTCAATGCAATGCACACAAAAAAGACTGGCAGTGAATTCTGAACGCCCAGACGTGAAACGTTCGAAACCTGCGTCGCGAGAGAAACCAAGAATCCTCAACCCACACAACTGCGACCAAGAACACATAGCATAGCTCCTGAATCCCGCATTCCCATCCTAACATAAATCTCCCAGAACCAATTCCTGAACAGGCTATGGCACTAAACCCTGACTGAGGCCAGGCAGCTCTCCGCACCGCACATATGGAGAAAACCATTTCTGCTCTAGGCTGCCACCGTCCTCGTCAATACGTTTGTTTTCGCGCATTTCTCCCTGTTACTACATGTTTTGCACTTGATGTGCTGGTAAGGATGTATAGATTAGTGGGTGGATGCGCGATGCGTAGAAGGCTTCGGCGGCCGAGGGCTTTAAGCCTGGCTCGGGCTGCATCGTGTTGTGTAAGTCCGCTTGGACTTGGAGCTGACACAATCTGCTCTTCGCAAGAAGTCCTGAACCCTGAAACTGTGAAGCCAGCAGGGCTTGCCCTTCTCCGTCAAGCCTACATGACTTCATAGTTCTTCGGGGCAACATCCCGAAGCCAAGTTAGGCCCACTCTGGCAATGGGGGGGCTGGTCTTCGGTTTGTAGGTGTGTTTGAGTTAATTATTGTTGAGGCAACCGATAGAAACTTGCAGGATCTTTGGCAGTGTAGCCTACAGAAGCTCAATGTCTGCTTGCAGCACGCAGGGATTTCAACTACACTGCACCTTTTAAAATGGAGCCCTTGCGGCCTGCATGCCTGTGGTTGTAGACTATATACCTATTCTTGAAGTACTTGGTTTGAACATGGACACCTGCCTCCCCTGGTTGCTCTTGACAACATGACTTCACAGACCTGTCTGTGTGACTCTCCTGGATGGGACCAGCCACATCGGCTGTATGCAGACACCTGCTGCGTGAAGGGGAATGTACTATCAAGGGAACCTCATCAGAGACCGAAAATAGAGTCCCAAGGTTGGACCCAACTAGCTTTGAAGACAGGCATGCCCGAAAGAATCCATACGCACGTATACAGTAAATCAAGCTTGGTGCGCGCACTCTCGTGGGGCCACAAATACAGAAAGCCCTGCAGTTATTGAACTCCTGCTAAAACACTCAAAATCCTAATTCCCATCCTAAACACTCTGCCCCGGAAATGCTGTGTCAATCTCCGATGCCTAAAAAGACTGATCCCCCTAACAAGGAACAACACACTCAAACCGCTTCATCACTGCACCGACATGGAGCCGAGAGCCTCCCACAAGCATCCCAACGTGCAGGAAGACGTTCCCATGCAAAAGGTTCTCAAACTTCAGTGTCACAGCCTAGGATTCGCAGGACGTGTCTATTCTAGATCCATCGCAACGCCCGACTTAGTGTGCATACTCCCATCGTTCTTGCGAATACCGAGGCTGGTACATAAGTGTAACAGAAGACCTGAATAGTCGAGTTCTGCTGCCGGCATTGCCATGACGTGGAAAACTGACATCGGTGATACTGAGTATGAACGAAGGTACGGCGACTTCCGCACACCTAAGTCCCAAACCCCTGCCCTGACCCAGTACCCGTACCCATGAACCCCAACATTCGCTCCCAACAGCACAGGGCCTACTTATTTTGCAATCTGCCATCGCTCTTCCGATTACTGGGGCTGCCAGTGAGTGAGTCGAAGTTTGCTGTCGGCAGTGTTATTACATGGCTATGATGGTTGGCTCTCCCTGCACGCCTATGTTGCCGAATCCCTGTATTACCGCCCTTCCCCCCGGAACTTACACCCGGACCCTTAAACTCCAACATTCGTAGTCGGGCTGGCCTTCGCTGGCTATGACTCGCCTGCGTTGGTGACTTGGTCCTCCCAGCAAGAAGAGTCATGATCGAGGGCTTCACTTTTCGGAGTGTTGGGCCCCAGGGTGGAACTCTGGGCGGCTTCCATGGTTGAATGCTTCGGGATAGCTTCCGAGTCTGAGTCCTCAGCTAAGGATTTGCCTGCATTCTCGGAGATTGTAACCAGAAGCTGGAAGCTGATCCATAGTAGTTAATAGTGAACCGTTACTGGGCATGCACAGAATTGGCTGGCGGCCAACATAAAGAGTTTCGGACTAAACGATGCAGCATTGTGCCACGAGCATAACAATTCATGGTATCAGCTATTTATCTAATTTATTTCCCTGTCCATGTCTACGTTGGGTTGCCTTTCATGTGATTTGACATGGCAGGCCTGGGCAAAGCCTTGCACCTCCACGAAACGAACCAGGAAGTTGAGAGGATGTTGTGCCAAAGCATAACCTCCACAAGGGTCATCGAACAGTACGAGAATCGGGCGCGTTAAATGATTCTGTCTATGATACCCTCCCGATCCGAGCCGGCACTATTTGTAGTCATGGGTTTGATGATCCGCGGCGTGTGTTCTGCGTTGACCCCAAAAATTGTGATCATCGTGGAATAAGCCTTGGTGGACCGGTTAACCATATATATATATGTATATAATATATATATATATATATATATACATATACATATTATATATATTATATAATATGTGTATATATATATATATAGCTATATATATATATATACATATATATATATATATATATATATATATATATATATTATTATATATTCCATATTATATATATATGTAAGTCCCACAGCCATTGCGAAGGTAAACGACTCTCAAAGCCATCGCCGGGTTCAATGACTGGAAGAAACCCTGTCGTTTAGGGTGACCCTAAACACATAGAAACAATTAATTAATTGCACCCTATACCACTATAAACCCTGAAAGCCTAAACCCCTAAGCCCCTGAACCCCCAAACCCCAAACCCGCAAATCCCTAAACTTTTAAGTCCCTCAACCCCAAACCCCTAAACCCTAAAACCCTGAACCTCTAAACCCGTAAAACCCCAACACCCTAAAACCCTACGACTTGTACATGTAACAGGATATGTACATGTGTACACACACTTTCCACGCTTCCCGGAAACCTGTACACGTACTATTTATAAATCATGATCACATTTCACTGCACTTGCTCGCATCGTTCGGTCGACACCTGTGCTGCTCAATGGCTTCCTGATCATATAATATTTCTACGGTTGCTGCCACTTTTCTGCAAGTAGTTTGCAGGTTGCACAGATTTTTTGAGAAGTGTTCGGGATCTGGAACTGTTTGGCGGGGTATCCAAGGCCACAGCCTTGCACTGCTGGACATTTGGGTTTGCATCTGCTCCGCTTTTGCAATTATGCATGTTCATATACGTGTTTGTAGTTGGGGCCCAGCATGGGGCACAGGGCTGCTTTGGAGATCCGAGGCCATAGCTTTGCACATTGCTGGAGATTGGATCTGGAGTTCACATCTGATTTGGGAGCCGCTTCTGCAAATACACACGTTTTCATCTTTGCATGCATGTGTTTGTCCGCAGTGCTCCATGTTGACTGGGGTCGGCAATCCTTGATGTTGACTGGGGTAGCTGAGGCTACAGCCCCGGCTATATATATATGAGATGGGATCTGGATTTCATGCACATGCGCTGAGCCGGGCGGCACCTCTGATATTAGTGTTCCTCGACGGAGCTTTTAAGCTCTTCGTGCGATATCCGAGGCTACAGGCTTCCCTAGGCCGTGCAGTACGAAGTGCAGCTGGTGGCCGTTTGGGGCGGCGCTTTTGCAAATCATTTCGCTATCGACTGATCCTAAATCGTAGAAAGAGCAAGACAAAAGATCTATGTGTGAATCCGAGGTCATCGCTGCGGTTTTCTTTTCGGAGACCGGGTTGCGACTGGTCTTGATTGCTGCTTGGCCATTCTAACCCTCGGGTCTGGGTGTAATGCATTATGGGATCCGGATATGTTTCAAGCGAGGTCAGGGATGGACCGCGGCTTGGCCACACGTGGCCGTGCTGGTATCTCTTATGCATTTATAAACACACCTGCATGTGCAGGGTTTTCATTCCGCTTCATCCGGGTGCTAAGGCTTTTCTGTTGCTGAGCAGCTGGCTCATTTACGAGATACATCTGAACGATGCCGGTCGCCATCGCCAGTGGGCATTGATTCTGGGCTCGGTCCGTCCCGCCTCTGCTCCCTGCTGTCATGCATATATACGTGTGTTTGTGCATGCTTACCTCCGTTTCTTCGGACATTACAGATCAATTTTGTTGTGACCTGTGGGTGCCGACTTGCCCTTGTTTGGGGCCAGAGCTCAAGGCCAGGCTATTGGGCATGGTTTCATAGAATCTTACATCTACGTAATAATTCACTGGGAGGCGTCCCTCCATGGCGGTGTCGGCGGCTTTTCGCATGGAGCAGCAGCTGCTACTCGAGGAGCAGATTCTACATGGAGTGTGTATGTCGTTTGTATGTAATAATTCATGATGGATGGCAGGACTTCATGAACACATGGATTACTCAAGATCCGAACTATCTTCTGAATGTGAGGAAGAAAAAGGACAGGCTTTCAATGCTTGTTTTCAGCTTCTGTGTGCTTGTACTTTTAAATTCATCGATGGACATGTAGGATCGCAACCTTTTGAACATCCCGAGCTCCGGTGTCTCTTCGGCGGAAATGGCCGGGTGATTGATTTCCTGCTAGCTGCATGCATGCATGCAGTATCGAACTTCCGATTCCATTGAACAACCCCTGCAGTTGGAAGTCAACTTTACCTTCATGTGCAACTACCTGGCTACCGTGGACTGCCACCTCCCGCTCTTCTCCACTCACAAGGACCAGTGAGCTCAGTGCATGTAACGACATTGTGTTGGTGAGCCCTCACCCCTCGCCTGTAGGCCGTGCTTGTAACGATGGCGAAACGGTATTGCATACTGCCGCAAAACAGCCGTCGCAAGCTTATCCGCGCCTTTTGTCGGCAGATGATGTATTGTCGTCGGGTTTTGCTTTTGTGCAGATTCTTGGAAAATCTTGCCGGCTATGTGTTGAGGCTTGGGCTGCGGCGGAAGCCGCAGCCATTCGGGGCATGGCCGTGCATGCTTTGCTGTTGGCTCGGCGGTCTGCTGGGTCAAAGTGTCTTGCCTGGAGTTATGTTCCACACCCGCACAAATGCATACACACATACATGTACACTTTCACATGTACACAATGTGCCAACACACTATATACATAAAGAAAAGTCGCTACCATCATCAGATCAGGGGTTCGAGGTCGATGGCATTCGCCTACTTATGAAACTAGCTGCCTTATAACCCCCCCCCACCCCAAAACCGATCGTAAAGCAGTCATATACATTACTATAGTAGTGTCCGGGTGCAGAGTGGGTTTAAATCCGAGGTCGGGCAAGATCCGAATTCTCAAGGAGCTCATCGTCACGTCGCTGGGAAGCGGTGCCTAGACTTAATATTATGTATATATATATATATATATTATAGATATATATTCGAAGCTTAATATATATATATATATATATATATATGTATATATATATATATGCCCAAACCTAGGTGGTAGTGATCCGGATGATGCCATCCTCGCCGAGATTCAGGCTTCGGCCCTCGATCGAACGAGTTTGCAGGACTGCTAACATATGATGTACCGTTAAGTCAGTGCTGCAGCTGCACTGACAGCGACATTTTTTTTGATTCCGCTTCAGGATTCGAGCTCGGCAGAATCCGCGGCTTCTACGCCACCCTCGGATGGCGAGAAAATCCTGGAGCACTTGGAGCTGGTCAGCTGGCGAAATTATCTGTTTTATCTCGATATGCCCTCCCGTACAGCTAGAGCATTGCAGCTTCAAGTCATCTTCCGAGCCGCAGCTGTAACTAACTTAACTATATATAGTTCGAAACCTGATCAAGCCCCAGCTGTAACTAACCAATTAACTATAGTTCGAAACCTGAAGCCCCAAACTCAAAACCCCATGGCTCTAAGGCTTAACTAGACACCAAAAAACAATAATTCATGGGTCGCCCTCGGTAAGGACCTGAGCCCCCGCAGCACTGCAGTACTTTAACATCGGTTTATGGACACGGGTCTTCTGATTTAGAGATTTGGGGTGTGGCTACTGCTAGGGATCAGGGTTCGAATTTGGGCTTTGCTTTTTTTGGGTGCTATTTTTTGTAGAGGCGAAATATTCAGGTTTGGCTTTTCACTGCGGCCAGAGCATGATTTAGTTAGGCCTATGGTAGGCCCAGGGCATATACCTGGGACGACAAGGGCCTTAGCCTAGGACCTCCGTATATATCGATCTACTAGATAAAACCTGCCCTTTCAGATCACCGTGCAAGGAGGCCGATCCGGGCCAGTCGACGGTGGCCTCCGCAGAGGAAGCTTGCCACGCATGTATATACATATATTGCATGTCATACAGCGAATTTGGAATCATGCGACTGTCGTGGTAGCCTGGACCTAGGCTTCTTCTAGTATTGCATGTTCAGCTATTAGTATCCCAGGCCTCGGGACCGATCGTCAGCGAGACGGCGATCCCAGAGCCTGCTCCGGAGAAGGACTGCACTGCAGTTTCAATCAGATCGCCTAAAACCCCAAGGATCCGAAACATCAGCAACAACCCACAAACTTCACTCGACCTAGATCCTAGATCTCCCCAGGAGCCCCGGGCGCCGGTGCAGAAAGTGCCGGCGGATCTGAGTTCGGCCAAGGCAGTGCTGAATGAGCACACGCAGGACTTGGAGGATGCTCGAAAGGCGAATGCGGTCGCAAAGCAGCTCGAGGCAGCAACACAGTAGGTCAAGTACTAGTGTGATGTTGCTAATCGAAATCGAATGTTTATCGTTCGTTGGCTTGCTAGGTGCAGAAGGCCGCAAGGGTTGCCGCAGCCGAGAAGACGGTTGAAGCCGCAGCAAAGAGGGAGAGCAAGCAAGTGCAGAAAGGGCAGCTGAAGGAGACGAAGGCATCGGGAAAGGGTCGCGGACGCGGCCGGGGCCGTGGCCGAAAGGCAGAGCAAGGAAAGGAGAATGAAAAGGATGATGGAAACAAGGAGGAGGATGCATTGGAGATGGAGGTGCCAAAGCCTGCCCCGAAGAAAGCCCCCAAGGCGAAAGCCAAGCCCCAGGCCCGCCCTTTATAAATTCCACATTTCATGCGACTTACCTCTAACCCTCCCGCAGGTCGAGGAAGCCTCGTGCGACAATGCTATCAAGTTCGACTGGGAGACCAAGGCACGACCCGTGTCTCCACTAGAGAATTCAGGTTTGATGATTTTATCCGGGCCCACATTCTGAGTCGAGGCACACATAATGTATTAAGCTAATCGGGGGTATATGCCGGGGGCTGCCTAAGCAAAGAATCGCTTAACATAACTTCGCCAAAGCCACTAAGCCAGAAGAAGTCTAACAAACCCGAAAGCCTTGAAAAGCTTACAACCCCAAACACTGCTGCCTATAACCTTGCAAACGTATACACAATACATGTGCAATTGACTTGCGATTTAACCTCAAATTCCCAAATCCCGAATTCATTGAGCCGCCAAATCCTTAATAAATTCCCGTGCAGCTTCACAGCCTGAAACCCTAGACCCAAACACCTAAATAAGATCCCGTATACCCTAGCACTCTGAAGCCAGAAATCCTGCATGCCCAAAGCTCCTATACCGCAGAACTCCGAAGCTTGCAATCCTTTTAAATGCCCAAATACCAGAAACCGGGGGCCCCTGACCCTAGAACTTAGAATCCTTCAAACCTATATTGTCTTGAGGTCAGAGAGCTGAAGCATGGTAACGTGCCGGTGCCCAAAGATTTCCGCGGCCAAGCCAAATCGTACACCCTGTCGCCGACTACTTACTGCATCGAGAGGGCCGATACTGCTTCCTCGATTTCCGTGCTGAGTCTTGTCTTAAGTAAATCATGCTTGTGTAATAATATATATGCACTGTAGCATCTGCAACGAACCAAGGTGGACCCTGAACTCACTGTATGTGAATACCGTGGTGAACAACAACCTCGGCGTGAAGGTCAATGCCAAAGGCGGTGCCACCTTGTCACGGGGCAAGTTCGAGGGTGACTGGTTCAACACGATGAAGGTTGCAAAATATCTTGCTGGATGGACGGAGGCTTTGCCTGCATTTCAACGTGCTAAAGTAGCATCTCATGTAGCACTGCCGTACACGTGTAATTAAATAATCTAAACTCTGAGGACCTCCTTCAAGATGGCTGATTTGGCTGCATGGGCCATGACGAGGTTGCCCTCGTTGCACTAATATGGGCAATTGTATATAATATATATATATATATATATATACCAGAAAATACTCTAAGGCCTGGGTATTAATTGGACGCCAGCACTTACAGCTGCTGAGCTGCATCCTAGACATGGCCACAACAACGATCGGCAAGATTGTTGGGTTCTAAATTCGCTTTAACGAAGGCTCATTCGATATGCTCGGAATGAAGCTTCCGGGTGCCTGCTACTCGGTTGCAGTTTAGACGACATGAGTGAGCTTGTGAGTGAGACGTGTATATGTGTGACGACACCATATGTGTTCCTATATTAAGGGCTGGATGGGATGCAGCTGCCGCGACCCTCCCTGAAGGGTCCTCGCAGCTTGAAAAATGACGTTAATCGTAAGTCTCACGAGCCTGGGACTTGAGCTGCTGACCATGCATCATGTACATGTACATGGTACATGTAGTGCTGCCAACTTGTCGCTGTCGCCGAAAAGCTGGAAACCTTAAACCCTGCAGCCCAACCGAATGCCATAAAGCGATCCTAGATCTAGACTAGTCATTAAACTATATCCCTAATTAAGCTTGTCTCCCAATCCGATCCTCGCGAAGCATCCATGATCTGGCAACTTGTCGCGGTCGCCGAAAAGCCGGAAGCCTTAAACCCTGCAGCCCAACCCAATGCCATAAACCTTCATTCGATCCTAGATCTAGACTTAGACTAGTCATTAAACTATATCCCTTAAGCTTGTCTCCCAATCCCATCCTCGCGAAGCATCCATGATCGGCCGTCAGCATTCCCTGAAGGCGGGGACTTGATCTTTTTAGGAGGTCTGCAGGGTTTCAGCTGAGGCAGCCAGATTGAAGGTCGTTTTCCGATATCGCGGTTATAGGCTGGGCGGTTTGGCTTGGGAGCTTCTAGCTTGGTGGTTGGGGGCTGTTGGGTTTCGGGGTGTGGAGGTCTTCGGGCCTGGGGAGTGCGGCTGCGATTGGGGCGACTGGTTTCGGGGATACGATGGACTTGGGGGTGTCGGTTTCCACGCTTGGGCTCTCGGTTGAGGAACTGGGAACTGCCCAAATCAGGCCCCCACAACCCGGCGCCAGAAGTCCAGAGGTATCCCCGTAACTTTTTTGAGTAATTAATCATCACCTAGGCCGTATAGGGTTTAGAGGTTGAGTGGTTAGACACTTTGACAAGCTAGCTGTAGCTATATATTGGGGGTTGGGCACGAGCTTGGGATGATTTTGTGCGGCTACCGTTTCGGACATAATGTATGTATGTATGTATGTTTGTATGTATGTATATATGTATATGTATATGTATGTATGTATGTATATATGTATATACATATATATATATATATATTTAACAATATTACTCGCTTGGGCTCTCGGTTGTTTGAAGATCCAGGGTGTGTGTATATGTATATACGGAACTTGCGAGAACGATTATTATATGGGCTTGTTCAAACAAGCCGTATAAATCGATGACGGAAGGGATGGGGTGCTTCGCCTTAACCCCAAACCTAAGCCCTGCAATCGTTGGAGTCGCGAGAGTCCAAAACCCTACATCCCGAACGCCTAAACCCTAAACCTTGATCTCCGCAACATCTGGCCCTCGACGCTGCTTGGGCTCTACTAATATTATATAGACGACTTTTGGATCAGGGTTTAGTGTTTAGGGTTCGGGGTGTCGACCCAGTAGATGCATGAGTACAAAGCGGCTATTAAATGCAGCAGCTCTTCTTTTAAGCCCAGGTCCGTGGGGTCTATGAACCAAACTGCTTATCTGCTGGGGCGCCAATATACTAGACCCTGAACCTAAAGCTGTCATGCACGATCTGAGGCCACAAACTCTAAACACGAAGAGGCACTGAAATGAAAATTATATCGTATCAGTACAGATAATCAGCTAGACGCTTTAATGATCGGCTTTAAACTGCTGCTAGGAATTCTGTATATATGGTACATCATAATTTGAAGCCCAAACCATCCTGGTTTCCCCAGCTAGCTGTATATGGTTAAAAGCCCCAAACCAGTGCCCAGGCTGCCCGGCTTTGTGATCAACCACTTCCTGCCAGGCGAGGGCTTCAGTTTCAAGGTTTAAAGCTTTAGGTTTTAGGGTCGTATGTAGGGCTGTGTTTTCGCGGTTGGGACCTTCGAGTTTTTAGGGGGTGGGCCCACGGTTCAGGGCTAATGCTCGGGTACACTTTAGGCTTTTGTGGCTTGTTGAATGTTTCGGGCCTTCGGGGGTTTAGGGCCTAGGGGCTTAGATGGTAAAAGGCCTAATACTGGGATTTAAATTCAGGCTTCCATGTGTTTGTGGGTACTTTGGGGCCCCGGGGTTTTAGGCTTCATGGTCTTAGGAAGCAGGTTTACGGTTCAGGGCGAATGCTAGGGTGAAGCTTCCGGCTTCGTGTTTTTGCCGGTTGTTCTGGGGCTTTGGAGGTTTTAGGGCTTGGGGCTGTAGTCGTTGCGATTTACGGATAGTGGGTTGAATAAGGCCTTGTGTTTTTGCTGGATGCTTATTTGGGGCCTGGAGGTCTTAGGGTGCGGGTTCACTGATCGATCGTTGGATCGTTGAAGCTCTGTTTCTTTACTGGTGGGTGTATTGCAGCCTCGGGGTTTAGGGCTCGGGGTTGTTTGTGTGCGAGGTGACGGATAGTCAGGTTAAACGTTCATGCTCATGCTTTAAGTGTTGTTACTCCACGGTGTGGGGTTTGGGTGGCTTAGGGCTCGGATGGGCTTGGCCTTTAGATTGCGGGTTTACAGTTCCCAAATCCCAAATTAAGGTTTCGGCTTGGGGCTCTTATAGGGTCCTAGTATGAAACTAGTAGTAGCACTACTGTTACTGCTACTACGACTGTACTTGTACTACTGCTATACTACTTCGTAGTAGTACTACTATACTACTACTAGTACTACTAGTACTACTAGTACTACTACTACTACTACTACTACTACTACTAGTACTACTACAACTACTTACTACTAGCACTACTAGGACGAAGCTTGTCGGAAGGTTCCCGGCAACATAGATGAAGATATACTGCGACGCGGGACTAGTGCTCCGGGTCCATCTAAAATGTACGATATTCAATAATGTTAGCAATCTGCTTCGGAGGGTGAAAAGAGGACCATGATCGGAAGCCGTAATCCAGCGACAATCGATAGCATGCAACCATGATGTAATGAGCACGTTGGGGTTCTCATCGGCGGCTCTTGTTCAGGGGCTTCTTCCCTGTCGACCCTGGCCCTTGCCATTCTGCTTGCCACCTGGTGGGCTCCCATGGTGCTTGCTCAGCACTTCTAATGCGTCAGGTGTCGATAGCTCTGACGGCCGCCTCATTTATCGAGGCCTGGCGAGGTTGAAAGCCCGGTACATCTCGGGGTCCTTAATCTCCCGCACGACTTCGGTGCGCTTGTGTTTCTGGTTCTGCCAAGCTGTTCCATCAGTGTGGTCGAAGCCAGCAAGCCTAATGCCTTAACCTATTCCTCAAATCAGGTGCAGGATTGAGGGTCCAACTTTAGGGCTGAGGGTGTTTCGGCTAGCTTCCATCTCAAGTGCAGGGTTGAGGGTTCGGGACACGGGAAATGGTCAACTGTAGGGCCCAGGGTCTTTCGGCTTCAGGCTTAAGTGTATCGAATAGCCCAGCAAGATCTAATGCGATCCTTCTGAACCCCGTGAACCGCCAGACCTAATCTATATAATACGATACCCGAAACAGGAAACCCTCAAGCATGCTAAAGCCCCTAATCTGTGCCACGGATATGAAAATATATCAATAATCCCCAAAGCTTACATATCTCTAGAAACCCTCCATCCTAAAGCCTTATATCGAAGCACCCGAACACAACCTGGCTCGCCTGGTGAGGCAATCGCACTGCCTGGCATCCTGCAGGAGAGTATCTGGGGAAGTTAGGTTCGCTTAAGTGTACGATAGGCCTAGGACAGAATAAGGTTTAAAGTTCAGTAATCTGGCATGGAACATCTAGGGATAGCGAATTGTCTATGCGGTTCGGGGGTCAGTTTAAGGAGCTTTGGAGTTTGGGGTGGACCCCCACTACAGCCCCGGCTGGGAAGGTTCAATAACCCTTCTAATAGGAATGCACATTCAGGGGGTACTAATGTCAATCGTGATGCTCGTTCCGTGGGGTTCTGAGGGCTCCAAAACCAAATGATCACCCCAATGTTGTGGTGATCGTATTTAGGGTCCATATCATAAAGCTGAGCCTTGCTGTGGACCCTAGTCTGGCCCTTAGATCCTGCATCCTCTATATAATTAAAAATACTGAGCCCTAATGCTTCAATATGTGTTCCCATATCATCAATATAAACCCTGCTCAGAACCCTATCAGAAACGAATCGCCCTTAAAGCCACAGCCTGAATCCTGCGATCTGAACCCTACAAGGCTTCGACCACAGACTTTCCGAGCAACAGTGTACACACTAGAGTTTTCTCGATCATTGGTTTTGGAGCCCCAAACGACCAGGCGCCCTGAAGCCCAAACCCGTAATCGCTAAACTTGTGTTTTCTAAGCCCAAGGCTACTCTGCAATCAAACCGATGTGGTATAAGTCTCATTCAATTAGGGTTATAAGTATTATGATAGTTACCTACTTATAACCCTGCTTACTAAGTCCCATGATCCCCTGAGTAAGTCCTAGCTCTGCTCAGAGCATAGCATTATAGGATTCTAAACATGCACCCCAAAAAGGAACTACTATGGAGGCTATGGGTAATTGAAACTTAAGCCTTATAATCTAGGACCTGGCTAATCATTGTGGTTTTGGAGCCCCAAACGACCAGGCGAGCCAACATACTTGCAAGCGCCAAATATCGAAGCCTTAAGCCCTGAAGCCCAAACCCGTAATCGCTAAACCTGTGTGCTCTAAGCCCAAAGCTACTCTGCAAAACCAAACCCGACTTCCGAGGCTTGCAGATGGTATCGCC